TATTAGAAACGTCGGCGAATAGTGAAAATAATATTTTTTGTTGGCTGCCAATTTGTCGGTAATGAAGCGAACGCATACGCGAGATACGAATGCGGCGTAAGTGAGAGTTTGGCAAAATCGAAACTGGTCTATGTCCTACAGTAAAGCGAGCACTCGCGCGTAAGTAATTGTTACCACTCGGATATGACTGACACGTCCGGTATGACATGTCATCCAGTGCCAGTACTGTGCTCTATCCGGCTCTGCCCGATCGATCCGTAATCCGTATAAGTAGCAATTGTGATAAAATTACGATGAAAATTATTATCAACATATTTCGCGATTTTTTAGTCACGGTCTAATCATAAAATAGATTAAGGAGGTGAACCTTTAAATATATAAATAAATTAAGAGGACTGTGACGAGAACCGACGTCACTTGTGACATCGTAATCTACCTTTGGGTCGGTTCCATGGCGTCGCGGGCGCAGAGCTAGGTCGTTCAACGACCTGCCTCGGCTCCGCGGTAAACCTTCATTATCCGAACAATGTTTTGCTACTTCGTGACATTCCTTTGTAATCATTTGGAAATGTAGGTTAAGGCTCTCGTATTGGTTTATGTTCTTGTTTATTTAAAATTCGCTTTTGTTATAAATTTGTCATAACAAAAGCGCAAAGGCCTGAAATGTCTTATGCCTTTCCTGATTACCTCTCGACATGATTTTAGCAAATAAGCCACTTTCTTGAAAAAATAATGAAAATAATGATGTAATTAATAAAACTAATTCATGTATTGTAGATATAATGATGTTTTGCGTAGTTTCCTTAATGAGAAGTAGATGGCTAGATGCTTTAGCCGGTGGCTCATCAAGCCAGGAATAGAAGATTAGCTATAATTATGATAATGCCTGTTTCTCTAGTTAAAAAGCGATTATTACAAAGCTGAAATATAGACTTTCCTCGAATGCTCTGTGTTCGACGACTTGTTTATTTAAACACAAAAAATAGGCGAGTTTCCTACATGAAGTAACTAATCGTCGGTCACTTCGTACTCGGAGATTAAAAGCTCAAGTTGGATCGGCGCGAGTGTTTTATGTAACTGCGTACGGGTCGATCGGGTGCAACAAACTATTCATTAGCGGTTTATTCTTAGCGCAGATAGCTTCGATGTGTGCTATAATTGTCTATTTTCTCTATCACCTAGAAGCTCCGCGATAGACTTTGCTTTTACGGGCGCTTACTTTTTAGTCGTTTTAAGTTCTGGAGAATGCGAATCGCAGGACACGAGCGGGCGCCGACGAGTCGCGCCGCAACTTTCTACGTTCGCGTCTAGAACGCTCTTAAACCGTAATCTGCAGATTGACGTACCACGAGAATATTGAGACAAGCAAATTGACTTGTACGTTACCCGTTCGTGTCATGTTTTCATGTGTTCAGCTGCTCGAGCGCTGCAGCATCGCTGCGAGCCCAGCTTTATAACCAATGTGCATATTACCATTGCAGGTCTGTTACCTGTGTTACGTAATTTAAAACGACGACCATCAGTCTATAAATACATTTGACTTTATCACATTGCTATTCCACTTACCGGAGTATTTGTTAGAATGTCTAGTATTTATCAGTTATCTATAGGTAAAGTATAAATTAATGGAATGAAATAAAAACGGCATAACGTGGTTCCTCCCGACGCTTAACCTAGTTTCGTTGCAGGTTTTGTTTTGTTAAAAGGGTGCTAGGTATGCTGTTATGAGGTTATCGCTCTCTGCAGCCTTTGTTCCGATATCGACATTTCCCTTGCTCTGCCGTGCCAAACGCCACGTTCGCCCCTCGTGAGCAATAGTGCTGTATTCGGCTCTATCATAGGCACAGAGTACTCGTATGCATAATATATACAAACGTACATGTCTATAGTTTGAAACCTTATCGCGCTTACATGAACAAGTCGAATTTTAAGATAATTTCGTGTTTAAAATTGCGAACTACTATCAATAAATCGTTTATCTTATCCGTGCTCGGTTTTGAAATTGAAATGACGTTTAATTTGGTGAAAAAGTGATGTCGGCGAAGGCGCCGCGTCCTGGCGCCATCGTCTCGACGTTGACCGTTTCCACGAAATTACCGTGCTAGCGCTGATCGACATAAATGTGCACCGACCACTCGAAGGGGTACTCTGGCTTTTGTCTTACGTAATGTTTACCCACATCTCTAGGTATCGCAGGCGTGGCGCGTAATTTCCAAACTGTTTCTCAATAACTTGCACTTGAAAATACCACTCATCGACCTTCAACTTACTCTTTGATAAAAACAAAACTTTAGTCACTGAAGGCTAACTTTGACGTGCTTAATTCAAAGAATTGTTAACTTAAGTTTGCTCAAGTCTCATATTCTGAGAATATATTTAGTCTATATTTCCCGTTCGAGGTAACCAACGAAATGCACCCATTTTTGTCTTATGATAAATCTTATTAATTTTGCTCACACCACAAAGTGATTAATCCCTGGGCTAGGTAGTAGTTAGGAATCCAAGTTTCACAGATAACTAAACTAAAAGTAACATGCATCCGCCCTTATGAAAGATATTACGAGGATGGGTTAATGATACCAGGTGTTTTACGCCCAAAAATGAGAATTCCCATTTTTTATGTTATAAATCAAGGGCGATTAATCATAACAAATGTACTTTCTGACACCGTTTATAAAACATCTAACCTACTTTAAAAATACCTCAAGAATTATTTTCTGACAATTCTTGTTTCGCACAGGTAGAATTAACTGTCTGGACAAAGAGATTCCTCGTGTACCTACTAAAGGGCGAATCTCACGACTGTTTTTTATTTATGTTAATTAAAATCACGAAACGTAATATCACTGAGTGACATAGTTTGCGCAATAATCAATATAATGATTGCAATCATTTTTAATTAAAACGAACTAAATTATAATTTATAATAATTCTCCAGCAACCAAGAATATTTTGAGATTTTAACGCAAGTTTCTGAGATGATAGAAAAATTCTATTGTCTCATATTAATTCAAGGTTGGTAGGCGTAAATCTCTTATAATATTTCTTTTGTCGAAATCGCTGTTTCAGGGAAACCTAACTGAACAAGATAATATATTGACTCCCGCTACTTCATTTGCATACAATTAAGGAACAGAGTTTACAAACACATTTACAGTAATAAATAATAATAATAATACAGTTTATTTGCCTCTTCACAATAATGCCTTCGCTATAAATCAATTCATATCTTTATTAGATCAAATAAATAAATTTTAATATGAAATATAAGGATATGAATTTTCCTGCCTCCGGGCCACCCCAAAGTTCCGCTAAACAGAAAGTTGTTCTTCGAAGCCGCACCAAGCTCGTTATCACATATCGGAGGTCATAGTGACGTCGTCGGCATCACCGCGCATTGTTTTGCGCACATGCATCTTATATTCTGTATGATATCGTTATGATTCAAACTTGACATTAGAAGTGGCTTCCTTCTTTTTAAATAAAATCGTGTTTATTTTCAATGCAAAAGCAGGCACCTGTCTAAGCCATGCTAAAACCATAGACTAACAAGCTGATTAATTGAAAACAGCCCATCTCTTCGACATTACTTCCTATTCCAATCAGGCCAACTAGAGATCAATTAGATAAAAGTGAAAAAATCTCATAGTTAATATGCTCTACTTGACAAGTCATAAAAAATAGTTACCTAACTAATGGCATATGTGATAAATGATTAAAGAGACAAAACTTGTATTCGTTTAACATGTAATTAGATAATCACTTAATGCTACATTTAGTTAGCCCGTCTCTTATAGCTTTGTTCGCCTGTTAATTAGGCGTTGTTAGGATAATTAGTATCCGATTTGTCTGTGGCCGTTGCGAGCTGCGCATCCCAAGTTGCCCCGGCGCCGGTCGTAACTGTTGAATGGCATTCGTGCATAAAGTTGCTTTAACTAGTTTCTACGCAACATGTTCCATATTATTCCTTTTTTATGGAGGGTTAATAAATACCGCTTACACTAATAGGTACCAAAACAATCGTCTTATAAAATGCTGGCGGAATATTTATACTTAAAGTGATTAAAATATCGATAAGTGTTAAATAGTGTGGATGAGTTTGTGGAATTCCGTCTCCGCCTCGACAACGACATGATGGACTGCCCTGACACCGATAAGGCCAACACAAAGAGACCTAACTGTTTCTGACAGGATGACCTGACTTCACACGGGATGTCTTATTACCCACTTTCAGGCTTCGCAATCAATCTCAGCCGGCCAAAGGCGTCGCTCGTCCATATGGCTATTTTAGAAGTGTAACTTAAATTAGCATTGGGAATGTATGGAATACACAATTGTATTAATCGTTCGCCTGCAATAAACGACGTCCGCGGTTGACGATCGGTTTACTAATTTGGCTTCGGCTGTTACGTCTGTAATGCAGATCATGAATTGGTGTACTTGCATATTTTATGCAAATTAAGAAAATTTGTGCATAACGTAACATGGCAACACTCGCGCTATATTTTTAACCAGGCTGTCATTTGTCTTTGAGATTATTGCTAATAATTCTCTTTATTAGTCTAATTAATAAGTTAACATTTACTTCGTTTGCAGAAGCCACTGGTAAGTTTTACTATTTTAAAGGGCTCGACCGTTACATAATTCGGCTGTGTGCATCAAATAGTAGCTGATGTACGGTGAGAGAGATGGTGGCGCGTGGTAGCGGGGCGGTGCGGTCTCAGCTCTGCGCCCACGACTCTCACCGCCTTATCTCTCGCGACCTCTGTCGTGTCCGGACGCGCACGACAGCCGTGCTCAGCGTCGCTTTAACTCGCGCGTAACGCGCTATGACGCCCTTTACGATACTAACTTGTTTAGTTGATTATTTAAACCTGATTTTTATTAAAAGTGTGGGATGTAGCCCAGAACTACAAAAGTGACTCGATTTTTGATTATTGTTGTGTTAACTGTAACCGAAAAAGTAATACTTTATTCCGTTCGTTAAATTAAACTCGACGATGGTGTCCGAAGGGGCTCTGCCCGTGGTTTGGTGTATGCGTGATAATCAATTAGTACCACATCAGGTATCTGGTGTTAAATTACAAGGTGTCGTCACAGGGGCTCACATAGCGGCCGTAACAGACTTTTTACGTATGGTAGCCGGCACCCCGATAGTTTTACCACATACCACGTTTCCAGAAAACATTGAAAATGACCTTAATGAAGAAAAAGAAAACACTTCAAGACAAAGGAAAATATCAATGCAAGTGGAAGTTCCTTGTGTTTTCCTGTCCGAAAGTGCGTTACAAATGGCCAAGAGTCGACATAATTCTTTAGAAGATAAGGTAACGTTAAAAAACTCCAGTACAAACTATACCGATTCGCAAAATACTAGAGATAGTGTAATGACGCTTTTTAATGCAACTAACAATGACATGATGGACGAGGTCTCGTCCACTGGCCCTAGTATTTCACACTGTACTGAAAATATCACTCAAAGAATAACTAGAATAATAGACTTAGATAATTTAAATAACGAAGAAATTAATAACGATCCAGAAAAAGAATGTTCGCAAAAAATAACGAGGATAATCGAGTTTGAAGATAGTCATTCGCCTGTTTCCAAAAGTAAGGAGAATGAAGTGCTTCAGAAAATTACCAGGATAATAGAATTTAGTGATAGTAATTTATTCTCCAATAATCATGGCGAGGATGGCGTTATCGATCATAAAGTCTTCAAATCGAAATCTATCGATTCTATTCTTCCTTGTATGGCTAAAATAATAGAAATAGAAAACGAAAAATCTAATGAAAGACGAATTTCTTTAACGAGTGAGCGAGAGATTAGATGTGGTCTCGATCATTTCAACGAAGATTCTGTAGCAAAATTCAGACCATTGCAAAGAAATAGATTTAGCGTCGATTCCTCTTGCTCCGAAAACTCTTACGCGAATATTGAGACCATTAAGAGTTTACAGGATGATAGAAAAGGGGACATGTTTGAAGATCTTACAAATACCGAAGGTCACACCAAACCCATTATTAAATCGCGGTTTAGGAGGAAAAAAACATCTGTTTGCTCCATTGGTTCGTCGGATTGTGACGAAGAAATAGACGTAATTTTTAAATCTAAGCCAAAATCTAGTCAGTGGGTTAGTCTCGATTGGATCCCTCCACATAAAGAAGAGCCAGTGAATACGCAGGTCTGTGATAAAGATGATTTTATTTCTAAGTGGATTGCCGAACAAAACTCTCAAAGCTCAGGCATTTTGGCGGACGAACGGCGAAGAAGCCTTCCGCCGAAATCGAACGAAATATATTTACAAACGATGAGAAGGTTCAGCGATGGATTACAAATGTGCAAAGAAGATGCAGCCAGTGACTCGCCCGCCACCGTCAAATGGAGATGGCACGATTTAGTCAAACGGCATTTGCAGCTTCTGAAGAATGATAAGGGCTTTAGAAGACAGCGAGGTAGTTGGATGCGCACCGCCCGAAGATTGTCACACTCAAACGTAAACAATAATAGCTTGGACACTTTTCCATTGGATACATATATGAAGCTGAACTCTATGCCGTAAGTGATTTCATTCATTGTCACTTAGTTTAGCCAAAATTAGTTCAATGAGTAAGATTTATATGTGCATCTCTGTAAGACGTCAGGTCGATCTACTTTACTAAACGTATGTTTGTATAACGTTGTACGAAACTGGTTATCATGTCAATAACGCAGACGCTACACGCTCAGCTTTTCTGCTAATCAATTCCGATCTCCTCGTCCGACAAACTCTTTACAGAACATGCATTGACATAGAAATGCACTAGCGTATTCTCGTGAGTCTGTTAATTAAAGTATGAAGCGCGTTTTGTTTGAATAACTGTTATATCCATAGCCAGAAATACTTGTTTCATCGCTTAGAAGTGAGGCTCTGAACGCGAGCTTATCGAGGAGTGTGTTACGAGAGCAAGTGTCGAACACGAACTTCCGCAAGGCCGTCTGATTAGAATGCAGGGAGCACGCGTCCAAGGCTATGTCTGTTCGGTCGCTGCACCGGTCGATGTCTTCCTCTCGGCACTTTGGCGATTGGAAGTCAACTCAGGAAATGAACCGTCAAGGTGACACTCACGAAATCTGTATTTGACCCATCGGAAGCGATTGTGATTTAGTTTTATTTGTTTCCTTATTTCCTGTCCAGAATAATTCAATAGTTTCTGGTATCTTCCAATTATATTTATAAAGGGGTCTCTTAACCAAAGACGAACCGCGCGATGCCGAGCGAACTTATTATTAAGACTACGTATACGGATGTGTTGGTGTTAGATTCCCATATTAACCTTGAGGGTGGTCTGCTCATTGCTCTAAAGTTTCACTACTATGTACCCATTTAATTTATCTCTACTCCTCGTTGTGTCTAAATTAAGCCTATAGCAGCTTATATAGAAAGTATACGGTGTACAGACTCTTAATTACACCACACCTATATAAGAACAACTATTATGGAAAGATTTTTTATTCATACAGAATCACAATGTCGAACGTTAATAGACCGTTTAAGAAAAGACAAAGGTATAAACTCTTTCGTTCGGCCATCTTACAAAAAATATATTTTTAAAAAAATACTCCATTATTCGTTTTATTGGCAGCAGCAATGAGCTATATTGATTGTGATTAATATTACATGTTTTGAATTTATTAATTAGCAGATAATTAAAAATATGTCTTATCAAACATGATTATATCGTCTGATTATAGCTTCATAATCAGTGTTACTATTTCGCTTGAGTCAAATCCACGTAATTATTTATCAAAAAAACATTATTGTGACCAAGTCAGTGTTTGAAAACATTTGAAATCGTGCCGTCCACTGTTCTACTATGACACCTATTGCTGTGTTATTTCGCAATGCCATGACGCCGTCTATAGTGATTTGTGATACACATCATGGATGCTTGGGTATTCGAAGCTGAAACGAGACGCGCACTGAATAAAAAGTAAATACGCCTTGCTCTTACATGTGCCATACAAAAAACTAAATTAATAATCATATTGTAACCGAGCTCTTTTCACTTTCACTTAATCGAGTTAGGTATTATTTAATATTCAAGTACCTACTTATCGTAACGCAAATTCACAATGTCGGCTTTTTTTGTGTCGACAAGTTGCTTTCTAGTCAAGTCAAGTTTCAAATTGACGGATGCTAATCATTGTATATTTCTATCTCGTATTCAATTCTGTATCTGTTGCACCTAAATTTACAAGTTATTAATATTTGAATGCGTTTTTTCATTGTTTAAACCACGTGGTCAGTCTTATCACAACGACCCATGGTGTTCGTCTTGCTAAAGAACAATACATCTGGTTTTATCTTTTGTTTTTGCTTTTTGTTTGGAGACTTACCATGCTGTTATATTCATCATATAACTTCAGCTATTTAAAATGTCTTGTTCTAGAGGCGGATAATGGAATACTTGCGTCATCTCAAAAAGTGGTAAACTTAGAATGCGTTGTGCCAATTTTTGCACTGTGCCTAGACCTAATATAGCGTCGGTAATTATAAAGGAACAAATGATACTAACGCGTAACGACTCATTGTCAAGTTCGCTAATGTTATCGTTATTTACCACCACCACCACCTCACCAAATACTAATCAATTGAAATACGTCCCTATAGCTATTTTACTTTCCTGTTTATCCGTCTATAAATAAATGTGTATAATTTTGCTTTTGTTTGTTTAAATCCTTAGAAAACAACATTGTATATGCGGATAAACATTATTCTGCAAAAGGTATAATGTCATATATGTATCGTGAATGAGCCATTTCTCCGAAACCTTCAGTTCCATTCAATATGCGACTAACAAAAGTGGCAATGGATGTCGTTACGATATGACCGTTTGTGGCACTGACTCAATTACATATATTAAAATATATTTTGGTTAAAGGAAAACCCAGAGAATTCCGTTTCGAGAATACTCAATTTATTAATTGTATTTGTATTATGAATCATTTTAATTGCTTAATGTATCAACAATTGGTACCTCCGACCTAGGTGAAGTTATGATGCCTATTGGGAAAACCTCATTTTAAATTCAGTGCCAGCCATATTCGTCCAATTGTTATCCTTATCTTTTATTTATGTGAATAACTAATGGACAAACGTCCGTATATTGTGGTTTTACCGTTCGCTTTATTATATTTAATGGGGTTTTTGGTTCACGAATCTCCTTACATCTTAAAAAATGCGCTTAATATGATTTAAAGGCAGTTGGTCCTCGTACAATGTAATGTAACTTCATCGCTTGCCCTTGCCAAGAAAACTGTTGAAACCTAAGTGAGAAAAAGATTTGAAAGCAACACGAGATAGATCCCGTTGATTAATGTAATTCATTTCGTTTTCTAATGATAATGGCTTTTGACATAGTATTGCAAAAATATTTTCTACGAGAGCATTCGCAATAAAAACAAAATACAATGGAAAACAAAATGCCAAGCGGGATGTAATTGCTTAGATAAATGCTTCAATTCTAATTACAACTCAATTGTTCCCATTGTTGAAGGCACGTGTACCTACGTCGCTGTTCTTTTCCATCGATATAGGAAATAATTTACTAAACGTACTAGGACGAATCTCTAATTTGAAATTGCACGAATTTAAATGACCCCAATAATTATCAACATGATTTGCCGAAGATAAGCAGTTTGCATATACTTTTACGCTATATAAGATGTCAGCAATAAAGGAAGCTAGTCATATTTGCTTGACTCTGTTTGTACTTTCGAATGTATCCAATAGAATCTATTCAAACAAAGAGACCAAAGAAAGTCCTGTTTCTGTATTGAGTTTTGTATAACATTCAATGCATTTGTAGTGAAGTTGCGGGATAAGTCGATTTTTATTAAATGTAGTTCATTAGTATCAAGTATACACTACTTAGTGAAATAAACAATTTCTTCGTCTGTTTCACAGACGTTTGCGGAATGTGGAAAGTTGTTTGATAAGATCTGATAAATGTGTGAAAATAAATCTTAATTCTTGATGTCGTTAAAGTAATTGAATTCACAATCCGAACTAATAATATACATTACAAACCAGTTCTAAGTAAATGTTTAGTTCATGACTCACTTGAAAGAAAAACTTACGTAGCTGCATTGGCCGTGCATGTTTTTATTGACCGAAACGTAGGCGCAAGCGCATATCCGATTTTGTCATGTCACACTTGATAGAGACAATGCGATCTAGAGAACCGATATCTTATACGAAATGCAGGTCAAGGTCAGGTTGTCGTCTGGTCCAGCGGGGCTCGCGCACCTCTCGTTCAGTATAAGACCCGACGAGTTTAATAACCGTGTTCATTTCGAACCTGATATTAATAGAAGCGGAATCCTAAACATCGCTAGCAAGTTTTGTATAAGCAACGAGTTATGTTCGCTTCGCTGCTTCCGATGCAAATTTATTACACAAGACAACCTAAATGGCTGCAGCTAAATATATACGTTATAATTAGAAACTGCTAAAACTCTTGACCTTGTTTTAAGTACTGTTGAAATCGTTTTGTTTTCCGTAAATCCACGATGCCTCTACTGGAGTAATAGTATGAAATATAGAGTAATGTAAATTGTGGCTCCATTAAAATGACGATATGGCAAGATAAGTGAGGATAAAACCTCTCCGATTCAATTAATCAATTCTACTGGTGTGTCCGTAGCCAACCTAGCTAGGCCTTCATTCAGGCCTAGTCTGCAACAGATCTATGACCCTTGGAATGCCCTTAGCACGTGACGAGGACTCTGCCGGTAATAAACCTAGTCTCGATACTCAATAGTCACAACACAGCTTAGTTTTCACGGTGCATTTTTATGATTATTGTGACACAGCTCCTTTACCAATAATTATCCTTTAAGATTTTATCGTCAGAATCCGACATTGAATTATAATAAGATCGTAGTTTCCCTTTGTTATATATTTTTCTTTTGACGATGCAAGTGAACTAGGAAAACCTTGTTTTTATTTGCCCCTTCGTTCTTCTTCGTAACTTCAGATTGTATGTTGTCAATCTCTTAAAGTTTATGTAGTTATTCAATCTGTGCCTACGTAATCTAATAAACAATTAAAACTCACCGTCTCAAACGTTATAAAACCTTGATTATTTTACCAAACGATTCTTCTGTAAAAAAATGAAATATTTCGTTATCGTACCTACTATTATTATAAATCGTTGAAATCCTGTCAATAGCTGCTTAACAAGAAAAACAAAATGAATTGCGTCCCTTCCCGTGAACACTATTCAACACATAATATTGAGATATTAAAGTAACAAACGGGTCTCGTCCCTTATGGGTTGTAATTGTATGTGAAAATGGTCTGAATAAACTTCACTAATTAAAAATTTAAATATCAGAGCTTACTGATGAATGGATCTCAACGGACCACGTCTGTAATTTGAAATTTTCAACAATCTGCTATTGTATTGTGTAGTACTGGAATTTTGCAACATTGCTACTAAGAAATACTTAACGCGTTACTTACACGTCGTGTAACGTGAATAGTATCAACGCTAAACATGCACTCGGTTTTTTATATATACTAGAATTGTTTCTTGTATCAAATTTAAGAATGACTAACAGAAAATGCAAATCGTTAAATGGTGTAGTGTCATATCCTTTCGAGATTTCACGTTAAAATCAGTTAAACAATAAGCAAGTATTCGCGGCGCGTGAGTGCGCCGACAGAATACGGAATATTCATTAATTCGTCGCTGTTGAGTCATCTCGAAGCTTTCTGGATAGAGGGACAGTTCCAATAATGAAATTGTTTTATTCATAATTTCGTTTCGTACGAACATATATCGTAGGTAATGAACATTAATTCATGTTTTCTTCACAGATGGTATTTCCGAAAAATAAAACGAATTGAAGCCGAGAAGAAACTACTCCTGCCGGAAAATGAACATGGGGCTTTTCTGATTCGTGATTCGGAAAGTCGACACAACGATTTCTCGCTGTCGGGTGAGTGCAACCATTTCCTATATTGTATTCTGTGCCTCTGTTTTATCTATCTATTCAAATTCATTGTGCGTTCTGGAAAAAAGGCGTAAAATGTGGCAACTCTGTGCGTGTTAGAAACCGAGGGCAATGGCTAGATGTACAAAGTGTGCGCCCTTCGACGATTGAATCTTCATAGTAAACCGGTTAAGTTTTTCAAGTTCTCTGGCGTCGTGGGAACAAACGGACATGTGTAAAGGCCTAGAACGATAAATGCCCACTCGTGACTGACGACTAATTAATTTTAAAAACTTCATTACTGCATATTCATGTCTTTTTATTCTGACGCAATTATAAGTGAATTGTTAGGACTGCCAGTGTAATAAATTATTGATTGAGTGTGTATGTATTTAGAAGAGACATAGAACTCTCTTAGCTCGAGCCGCAGCAAACATTTTATTTTCAGAATTACATCTCGTCAGCTACCGTTGTTGAATTGTAATTAAATCCTATATACAGTTCAGTGGCTCTCGCTCGAATTGTAACAGCGTTGAGAGACGACTTAAATTATATTGCGCCAATCTGCTATATGATTGCAGACCACGTCGCGTCGGCATCTACTATTACCTCATAATACTAAACTCATTATTCTGGAAAGATAGAACAACCTGTAATACCCCTTTAATATGTTTTATGGAATCGTTATTGTAAAGAAATGAGGTGTCCTTGGCTATAATTAGTGTTAGGTTTCAAGGCCCACCACGAAAACTGCTTTTGTTCTCTTGCCTTAGTTGTTTTTTGACCTTAACATTCATGCACCACTAATGCGTTACATTCATTTGCATAAGTATTAACACCTGACAATTACTTTTTCCACTTTATTCCTTTTTATTTATTCAAAGTCAAACTCAAAATAACTTTATTCATATAGGTAATCAAGTACACTTATGAACGTCAGAAACGAAGTTAATTTAATTCTAAATTTACATTTACTCAGTCCTAGTAAGGCGGGTAACCCTCGCATGTTAATTGTTTCATTATTAATAATAACAACTATCATAATAAACGAATCAGAGTAAAAGTTAATATTATTCGCTGAAGTAACGCGTATAACAGCCTGGCCACGGGACATTCGCTAACGCGAATATTCGCGCGGTGCGAACGGCGATGCGTCTAGCGACTGAAATAAACTCATAGCAATGTACTAATCAAGCCACGCGCAACGGCGACCAGCGATGCGACCGGCGAAATGTACCGAGCGAATCGCGCGGGCGACTGACGTCGCGACGGGCGAGCGAAACAAATGCATGAATCAGTACGGTGCAAGCCACGGAGTCGAGCGGCAGTCGCGGCGAATAGAGAAGGGAATAAATAAGTTTAGTCGTGGTCGCGGCGAAAAATGAATACAGAGTTTTTTGTTACTGAAATACTGGCTAGACCAGCTATTTGGAAGTCTGGCCATCCACAGCATTAATTTAATATACCTTAATCTCAAAAACAATTTTTCAGCGGCACTTAAAATTCTATTTGCATTAACTTTTTTCTCCAATTCTGGTTGAATATTCATAAGAATATAATTGAAGGTTTCAATACTCATTCTGGTATACTCAAAAAAATAATTCTGGATATATTCTGAATTTGTCATACTTCTTGTGGAATTCTCCACAATTTCTCCAAATATTAGGTCTTGAACCAAAAGCTATTACTTTCCAAGCAATATCGAGATGATTTCGATAAAGACATTTCGCTGTCGAACTTCCTTACTGGTCGCGGCGGCAAACGTGACTGGTCCGTGGCCTGCAAACGGCCCCGCGCGAATGGTGGCCTCGCCTCCCGCATCGCCGTTCGCACCGCTGATCCCCGTGGCCAGGCCGTAAAGCACGATTACAATGGGGGGACATAAACGTCTAAACACTTTCTCAATCATTAAGGAAAGTGAAATTTGTAATACGTTATTAAGTTTTGTAGTATTCATAAATTATAACTCAATTGCGGTGAGCTGTCTTAACAAAACATCAGGAGGCTATACTTATACTTAGCTGAGCTAAGCTCAAGTTAATAAGAGCTTCTGTAAAACTTGAAGGGGGGTCGAGCGAGGATGCAACATTATGCTTATTAAATACATAGTTAGTATGGCATTGGACTGCTAATGTAGTGATAATAAGTTTTATTATATTTTCATTATACATAACAATCGACCGGTAATTTTTTCCTTGAAAAATGATTGCGAAACGTCTTGCACAATGCAGTGTGTGTAATCACTATCTAATGTTATCTGGTAATTACATATTATTAAAAATAAATACACATTTTTAACGCATTTCTATGTTAATCGCTGACATTGAATTAAAATCTACGCAAAAATTTTGAAATGCGTTTTATTGAAATAATATTTATAGGTTTCTAATGGAGCATTAATATATACAACACACACACTTATTGGTCCTATTAACGCCTCGGCAAGAAGACTCTGCGAAGTGGGTCCACTTCTGAGAAATTCACAAATGGAATAACCTATTCTAAATAAGTTCATGTTTTACGCATCCTAAAAGTACGTTCATTTATTTGTTCGTTACGGGACTGTGCTTCACGACTGTGAGTCACGAGAGAGAATCCTTTTGGGAATCTAGTTTCAAATTCTAAGAGTGGTCAAATTACATATACTGCTCAAAACAATTAGCGGAACAAGATTTTTCTCCTTTCTATTGCTTAAACTAAAATTAGATTTAAATTAACTTGTACGCTATTTTTTACCTTGTTAATTTGTTAATTACTACAATTAATAAAAAAAATCATTTTGAATTTTTTTTATTAAAAAAAAATTAAAATGTGCATTGTAGACGAAAAACTAATTGGTGATAAAAAAGGTCCATCAAAGAAATATTCTTATATCGTTTGAATATTCGTCTTTAGTGACTTTCAGTAACGTGTGTGGCCTCCATGAGCCCTAATCACGGCTTGACAACGACGCGGCATGCTTCGTATGATCCTCCGAATATGTGGAATTCGCTCCCATTCTTCAATCAACGCTTCAGTGAGCTGCTGCAGTGTTTGAGGTGCAATCGGACGATTCCGGATGCGCCTGTCAAGCAAGTCCCAAATGTGTTCAATTGGATTTAGGTCAGGGCTCATGGAAGGCCCATACCATATGCTGCGGGCCAAACATGATCTTCGAGCACATTTTCAATGTAAGTTTGAGCACACAAGCGCCCGGGAACAACGACGAGATCTGTGCGCTCGTCCAAACTAACTCCGCCCCAAACCATCACATAGCCACATCCAAATTTGTCATATTCCTGGACTGCTGCTGCACTGTATCGCTCGCCTGGGCGTCTGTAAACACGGAGAGGACCATCGCAACGTGTTAGACGGAATCGTGATTCGTCAGTAAAAAGCACTGGCTTGGAGGAGTGCTTTTTACTCGAAGTTGCCAATTAGCGTGATTTTGCGCGAACTGTCGGCGAGCTTGTCTATGTTGAATTGTTAGACGCACAGCCCGAACTGGTCGGCGTGATCTCAAATTGGCTTCCAACAACCTATTTCTTACCGTCTGGTCGGAAATTTCTACACCAGTAGCCGTCCTTAGTGTATTTTGTAGATCTCTTGCAGTTGTGGTGCGGTTACGTAAAGCACAGTTGACGATGTAGCGATCTTGCAAACGTGTAGTTTTTCTCTTTCGACCTTGACCACACCTTCGTGAGTATTCTCCCGTCTCACGGTATCGCTTCCAAAGTCTGTAGATAACAGAAGGGGCTACTCCTAGATCATTTCCTACATAACGCATAGTTCGACCCTCTTCAAGCAAAGCGATAGCTCGGGAGACATGCAATTCAGTCAGATCTGGCATTATGACCTAAACTCACTCGCTTCAATGAATAACAATACTCAAAAGGCTCACTTCAATTTCTATTAATACTCAAAAGATTGAAAAAAACTACTTAAAATGTGTTTTCTGTGATTAGAAAGTAATGAAAATTCAAAGACATCACTTTGTTTTTCGTCTACAATGCACATAATAATAAAACACAAACAAAGTTAACAAATTAACAAGGTAAAAAATAGCGTACAAGTTAATTTAAATCTAATTTTAGTTTAAGCAATAGAAAGGAGAAAAATCTTGTTCCGCTAATTGTTTTGAGCATTATATATACACTGGTGGTCGTATAATTAGAAACACTACCAACGGTCGTTTACATTATTAAAGTGTCTTACCGCAAACGTTTTTATTTTTTTAAGCAATAAATAGGACAACAATATGTTCAACGATTTATCATTTATTAGAAAAACAATATAAATCCCGTTACACAAGTGCAGTTTCAATATTACATTACGGACAAACATTGAAATCAGTTTTACGGTATGAACTATAGTCAACCAATTAGAAACAACAACAAAAAGTATTAAACACAATATTTTTTAAGTATTAGTAATTGGTATTGTACGTGTAAACGAAATAGCAGTATCCACAGCCTACCAATAGTTACAAATTATATTTAGTGGCGTAACCCTATTTTTCAATAACAGCACTGCAACGACGTGGCAACGATTCAATCAAATTCATGCATTTTTCTAGAAGGATTGAATTCCATGCTTCAACAAATGCTTCACATAGTTCGTTTTGACTGTTGTTACGTTTGTTTGAGACTTTCTTTTTAACAATTCACTAGATTTTTTTTATCGCGTTAATATCCGTTATCGTTTATCGTTAGAAACGATTTGAAAACAAATTAGTTTTGATATACGCTGTTCGCTAAGGAAACATTTGACGCTATTGGCCGTGTGTTTAGAGTCATTGTCATGCTGAAAGATCCAGGTTACAGGCAAATGATCGTCCCAGTAGGGAATCCTTGTGTGCTCTAAGATATTTTTGTATTGCCATTGAGCCATTGTATTTTCATCTTAATTTATCATACATAATATTTATTTTTGTTTCATCTGAAAATAACACTTTTTTCCATACTCGTACCGTATAATTAACATATGTTTTAGCGAATTAAAATCGCTTCTCTCGGTGTTGCTTGGTAAGAAGTGGTATCTTTCGAGAGACTCTTCCAAACTCTCTATAGCTCTGCTATTATTATGCACGCCCACTTATGTCCTATATGTAAATTAACAATCATTTGCCTAGTTGACGCGTCACAACTTTTATATTTACCCATTTGAACAAAATAAAATTCAGATTTAATTTTGAATTACCGCCAAAATAATAGAAAAAGCCTAGGCAGAAATGTTATTCTCCAATTTCAAAAAAAATAACGAGCATGGATGCTTTTTTAAAATGTTTCTAATTAGGCGTCCAAGCGGCCAGTAACAGAAAATAAACTCCTACATGTGGACGACTCATTTTGTAATTAAAAGTAAGACATGTTTTATATTTAATGCATTTAATGGGTTTTTTTTATTTGAGTGGCTAAATTATTGCATTATTATTAATTATTGAATGTGTATATTTTTTACGAACATTTGTACGTTGAAGTTATACTTTCCTTATTCATAAGTGTTTCTGATTATATGACCACCACTGTATATGCCCAATTAATAATATCTTAAAACTATCCGAAAATTCATTTGTTGATTTTAATTGAAACTCAATATAATTTATGCTTACTCGATTGTCCCTTTCGTGAAAATGTTCAATCATTTTCATTTCAAGTTGAAATATTATGTTATAGATTTTTATAAAACAAATTTTTTACAGTCCGCGACGGCGACACGGTGAAGCACTACCGCATCAGACAGCTCGACGAAGGAGGCTTCTTCATCGCTCGTAGAACAACCTTCAGGACTCTACAGGAGCTGGTGGAGCATTACAGCAAGGATGCGGACGGCCTCTGCGTCTCGCTTAGCAAACCTTGCGTTCAGGTGTGTTTCTTAAATAGCATCGACCGTCCTCTCTGCGCTTAGTTTGATTCGACGTCCGGCGTAAATGGAAAATATATCAATTTGAATATGAGTGTATGGAGAGCCGTCTCTCGTCGTAAAATATGAAATACTTAATGGTAATTATTATGCGTATACATAAATTATTATCCAATATACGAAAGGTGAAACATTTTACGTGAAGCGATAGACCATTGTGCTCGAAGACGTGTAGGATATCGAAGCTCGGACGATCGAAGTTAATTCTGCGAAACAGTTAAACTTTTTTTTAATCTAATAAATACGTCGTTTAAGAGTTGACTTATATAACAAAGAATGACATCAACCCGTCACGTATAAATAAAATGTGAATTCCGCGCACTTTTAATTATTGAGAGTAATTCTTCTAAAGAACATACATAATTCAATAGAAGCACGGTGATGCAGCTTTTGAAGAATGTCAAACGTTTTGAAGTTTCCAATGTTATGCAACGCTCTCGTCTAAAGCTGACCGGCGCCAAGGTTGTGACCCCGCTTTCATTGGACTCTATATTTTGTAATCGATTGGATAAAACCACATTTCGCGAAACATATCATAGAACGGCTCTAAGTTGAAAATTAGTTAAAGTTTAGTAGTGGGTGCAGTTACGTCATAACTCATAGAGCGCCAGATCGTATGTGCTGTAATAGGTTATATCATTGGTATTGTCAAATATGTTTCTATTTCATTTGAATCTTATAAAAGACAAGAGCAAAGAAGGCCCACATGCATGCGGCAGACACGGAGATAATAAAGAAGAATAGCAATTATGCCAATGAAGCGTTTTGTTCACGTTGATTATTATTGTCGCAAAAGAATCACTTTATTTTATATTTGAGCAATTAAAAGTGTTCGATCTGGCCAAGTCATTCACACGACATTACGATTTCCTCGAACGTTATCTGTTGATGTTTCATTTCGCCGGCAGACTCAAATTGTCATCTCGGACCAAAATTTAAGATTTTTAATAAACTAAAAAATAAGATGCATTAAGACTAGAGCTGGTTAATTAATTCTCTGAAGAACATTTTAAAATCCAGTTACATTTTTGAAAGTTGCAAGGCGGGAACCAGAAAATAATGAAGTGCAGTCGCACCGTTAATTAATTATGTCCGTAGATGAAAACAACAGGGAATGTTTCCCAAAAATCGCCCAAAGTCCGGCGTTGTTAATAGTCGCGTTCGCTACCTACTCGAATAACTTAAAATAACTTTAACAGAGGATTCGTTACGCTTTTCAGTAAGGAACGGTTGATTATAATCGCACAAGGTCAATGCAATTATATATTGTTTTTTTTTTAGTTAGAATTATGAATATTGGTCGAATGCTACCTTTGAGGGACGAGATATTTTTAAACCTTAAAATCGGCCGAATTAAAAAAATGAATTCAACAAAAAAGACACTACAATGTCTGTTAGTAAGTTATTAACAATCTTCTGACTTTGTAATTAATCAAAAACAATTAATATTTATTAATTACGACAAAGCGTAAATTATTCTACGTCTACGTCATTCTTCTATAAAGCAATTTTCTAGAGCATAATATTTATTTGCAATGGTATTCGTTTTCCTTAATCAGGTATTATAATTTTCTGGCCAGGTATGTGTGTCATCGTTGAGAATTTATTGCGAGAAAAGCCCGTACATGCATTTCGCATTTAATAAGCGCTAATACGAACGGAGGACGAGGGATTTTATAAGGATTTGTGCTATAACTCACTCGCGACTCTATTACGTCGGTGAAAAAATGATTTTCTAAACTTTGACAAACAAAATGTAAACAACATTTAATTATTGCATAATTCGTTGGTTCCATTCAATAGTATTTAGTGACAGATATCATTAGTGTACGAATCGACGATTGGATAACGAGCCAATGATATAACGCCTCGTTCGATAACAGTAATTTTATATTACCGTTTAAATCAAGATTGTTTATCGAATCGTTGCGTATTGCGTATGAGACGTCGAGTCTCGGATTTGTGGTCGGTCGCCATTATTACCGTCGGTGTTAGATTACGTGAGGAGAATAAAAATATATCATATTGCAAATACGCAGCCGGCCCGTCTCCCCTAACCGACACGTCGTATACTGCGATTTAAGTGTACAGAAGCAAAAGTTTAGAGCCGTATCGTAGAGGAAATTTCTAGTCGGCAGAGAGTCAGCCGACGGTCACGTGGCTAATGGGCACTCGTGGCTGACATTGGGGACACGTGAAAACATAATATACAATAGCTCACCGCTCAAACGGCCATACGTAGAATAAACGACTCGATAATAATTCATCGCACAATGAGCCGGAGAGTAGGTCTACGGACTCCGAGTAAAAGTAAGTCTCTGGTCCATCGTTAGTCATGTTTATTTTTACCTTTTATTTATGGTGCACGTTTATTTGACGTACATCAACACGACTTATTAATATTCATACTTTATTGGCAGTCGGGCTCATTAATAGTTAAACGATTCTCGCTAGAAATTAACGTTAATTTCGCACGGCGCATGCTCTATTCTTTATACCTGGATCACGTTTAAGGCGCCGTCTAACCGTCTTTTGACTGTCACTTTGAAGACTGCTTCGGAAATTTGAAGGAAAACTATTATTGACTCTTAACTAAATTTCAGGTCGAGAAACCCGTGACCGAAGGTCTGTCTCACAGGACGAGAGACCAATGGGAGATCGATCGTTCCTCTCTGAAGTTCGTCCGAAAACTCGGACACGGACAATTCGGAGAGGTGTGGGAGGGTCTATGGAATAGCACCACGCCCGTGGCCATCAAGACCCTCAAATCTGGCACCATGGACCCCAAGGACTTCCTCGCCGAAGCGCAAATCATGAAGAAACTCAGACACAACAAGCTCATCCAGCTGTACGCCGTGTGCACGCTCGAGGAGCCCATATACATCATCACCGAGCTCATGAAGAACGGGTCGCTGTTGGAGTATCTGCAAGGTGCCGCAAACTTATCGCAAATTCATTATTTTTATCACGTATCGGTCGATCGAACGAGAGAATGATCCTTATTTTCCGACGCAGGCAAAGGCCGCGGCCTGAAGCTCCAGCAGCTGATCGACATGGCGGCGCAGATCGCCGCGGGAATGGCCTATCTGGAGTCGCAGAACTACATCCACCGAGACCTCGCCGCCAGGAACGTGCTCGTGGCCGACGCCAACATCGTCAAGATCGCCGACTTCGGCCTCGCCAGGCTGATCAAGGTATTTGCCGACTTCCTTTTATTCTATTTGGTCGGGAATAGTAAACATTAAAGGGGCTCTTTTAACTATCGGCCCAATTGCAACGACGCAGGAGGACGAGTACGAGGCTCGCGTGGGCGCGCGCTTCCCCATCAAGTGGACGGCCCCGGAGGCGGCCAACTACAGCAAGTTCTCCATCAAGTCCGACGTGTGGTCCTTCGGCATCCTGCTCACCGAGCTCGTCACCTACGGCCGGACGCCCTATCCGGGCATGTCCAACGCCGAGGTGATGCACCAGGTGGAGCACGGGTACCGCATGCCCTGCCCGCCCAACTGCCCGCCCGCCCTCTACGAGATCATGCTCGAGTGCTGGCACAAGGACGCGCTCAAGCGACCCACCTTCGAGACTCTGCAGTGGAAGCTCGAGGACTTCTTCACGATGGACAACTCGGAGTACAAAGAGGCGTCCGCCTACTGAGCCCGGCCCGCCCTGCCCGCCCGCCGGCACGCGCCGCCCGCGCCGTGCCCGGCCCTCCTCCGGGGCGACCGCCGCGTGCCGCCCGAGCTGACGCTGCACGCCAGCGCCTCGCTGCAGCAGCTGCAGACGCAGCGGCCGCGGCGCCCGCTGCCCCACTCGGCCACGCTGGCCGCGGTGCCCCTCTGTCCCCACCGCCGGCCCCGCTAGCCCCCCCGGGGCCGAAGGCTCGAGGGAGAGTCGACTTTCGCGCTTTCGTTTCCGACGTGAGTTCGAGCGGAGACGCGCGTCCGAAGCGAACTAGGTTCGGCAGGGATTTATTATTATTATTATTACGAGGACTAGGGATGGACTGATTCGCTATCTATATATTTATCTATCTATCGCCTCCTCGGATTCGCTCCGAGAGGACGTATTCGTAAGAGTTAATTTATGTACGTATTTGTAGCAGTAGCCTTTCGACTCGCACATGTAAATATGGTCCTTCGCTCGAGCCGCACAAACTCTTCGTTCGGCCAAACGATTCCCATCGAGCGGCCATTGAGCGCAGACGCTCGGGCGGAGGCGACCCGGGCGAGGGAAATTCCCAATTTTATTTAGTTAGCCAATCTAAGAGCGGTTCGCGGTTTCGAGCCGAACTGAGGTCTCATTACCTCCGAGTATTGATTAATTATATTTTAAGCAGATAATGTAACTGTTACGATAATTATACATATTACACTCATTTGTAAAGATTTTTTAACACTAAATATAAATGTGAAATAAGTTTTGTTTCATTCGCCCCTCCTCCCTTCTTCCCTCCCCCGCTCCCTTCGAGTCCCCCGAGAGTCCGAAATAGAAGACGAGGATTCAAGACTCGAGTATATTTTGCAATTTATAAAACACATTCGACAGTTTCGCCTTGCGCTGGTCGCTCAGCCCCCCTTCGGCCTTCAGCTCGCTCAGGCGACGCACGTTCTCTTCTATTCTCGATATTAAATCTTCACGTTCGTCGTCGTCCAGCTTCATCCTTTTGGAACGAGGTCGCTCGGCGTCGGCCGACGGAGACTCGTCCGAGAGACATCCGTGAGAGAAGCGATGACTCCGGACGCTTCGCAACTGAAGTTCAAACTGCGGAGTTCCACGGCGAGGCTCTCGATCCGCAGACGGACCGACCAGAGTCGGATCTTCTCGAACGACTCTGTCGACTCTCCCGCATCTCTGGAGCGTGACGAACGCGTGTCGGTGTATCGGGTCGTCCGCTTCCAGCGACTCGGCGAACACGTCTCGCGAGAGAGCGTCCCGGGGGACGAGGCCTCTCTCGTAAAATGAACAGTACTTTTGAAACAAAACGAACGCGACGTTCTCGTCGCCGCTCCTCAGCAGGTCTCCGATCGTGCCGTGGATCTGAAAATAAAAGTGACGATCGCGGTTAAATCGAGCTCGATCCGTTCGAACGCCCCGGAGGGACGGGAGACGGGCCCCACCTCGCGGACGGCCTCTTCGGACAAGAGAGGGCCGAAAGTTTCGGTGAGGGCGGTCAATCGCCGAATCCTCTCGCACCGGAGCGCCTCGTCGCCCTCGTCCGTCCTCGACTCGCTCCACAGAGTCGACAACGTTCCGGATATCAGATCCGTCGGCCTCTCGCCCGCGACCGGATTCGACGGCAGCAACTGAAAAATTCAAATTTATGATGTTACTATTTTAAAAAAGTGCGGCGTACAAAGTTCACATGTCAGAAGTGAAACTTCTTTGGTAGAAGATATGTTAGGAATTTAATGAATTTAATTGTCACTAAAATATTAAGTATGAGTGTTATTATTATAATTTTTTTTTTTTTAATGTAATTTTTCTTCGATAATAAACACACGTGGCATTTTAATTTACAATTCGTCATTTGAGATTTCAATAAATTATTTTGCATAAAATATAAAATACTACGTTCATTCTCTTTACGAATTTTTAATTTTAAAAATGGTATTCCTTCATGCTACGTTCGCCCTTTCTTCACTCTCAATCTCAATCGCTCTCTCCCTTTTCTTCGACAAAAACGCTGCACATCTTCGTGATGTTTCATCCGTAAAAATTTCACCCTCATGCGCCTAAAGAAGTTTCACTTCAAAAACGATTTCTCTCTCCTGAATCAAATCAGTCGTCTCTCCAATAACGTTAAACTAAATCGACTCACCGCGTTTTCCATTTCGTCGATATCGAGGCACCCCTTCAGCATCGCCACGAACGTCCCGACTGCGCTCCGCCGTCCTCCGACTTCTGTCGGTGTCAATCCCGACCATAAATCGAAATGATCTTCTATTTTGTACAAATTTAATATCCTATCCTTATCTCGTCTCGCGCACAGCCCGAACAGATTCCTTACGACTCGGGTCAGGTGAACGTTTTGCGGAGATCGGTGAAACGCCGGCTTCCGAGCGAGGCTCCGATACACCTCGATCAGGAACGACGCGGTCTCCGCCACCAGTCTGGAGTCACTCGACCTGCGTGAGATAGCTTCGCGTTAAAAACTCGCGTTAAACGAATACAAAACGGGTCTCGATCGTTTTCGACCGCCCACCTCATCAACAGAATCCACAGATCGGCCGCGAAGAGAGCGCCGTAGCAGTCGGTCTCCAACAGACTCGTCAACAGGAGGCGTTCCAGCGCCGCGTACCCGTCGCCGCTCAGCGTCCTCGCGAAGGCCGAGCCGACCGTCAGCGCGTACTCGAACAGACCGAACCTTTTATTGTCGAGTTCCATTTCTATTTCGACGTTGAACCAGACGTGGCCTGGAATTAAAGGACGCGATCACTCGACCCGAAGTCGCCTCGAGGCGAGTCCCCTCGCCACTTACCGTCTGGCAATAGACGAAACATTCGGGACATCACGTTCAGTCTCGTGTCGCTCGGTGAGATCCTCATGACGTCCGTGAGAAGAATTAAGTAGCCGATAAACTTCTCATTCTCAAATTTGACTTCGTTCACTTTGCAGATGTCCTAAAACAAATGATTCATTTCACTCTTTTGGCGGAGTCCCTCGGACGAATAAAGAAATAGTTCTCGTCGTTAGAACTCCTGACTAGCGAAACTAGATAATGAATCACAATATCGCTGTCCACTCACATGAATAAACGCTTCTTCGGCGACTAAGGCCTCGACCAAGGCCACCGAAGGAGCTCTCGTGTTTTCTTCGATGAGTTTAGTTATTTCTGAGGGAATCTTCAAATATGTTTCCAGGTAGGACGCGTTGTACCTGAAAAATATTTTTATCTTTGTGTTAGCCTATATAGTATAACGACCGCCAATTTCCAATTCCCGACCACTTCTATATCTGAATCTGTTTTACCCACGGCTTGTTGAGGGTTTCTTCTGCTTGAGAATAATCTAAAAAGGTCCCTTAATCCTCGGTACAGTGAAATAATTAAAGTTTCAGTCGATTTCAAATAGTAAAGAATTGTATTGCAATGCAATTTTAAATTAACGAAAACCTTTAATCAAAATGTAACTTACGTATTTAGAAATATTAAAAGGTAAATTATCTCATCATTATAGTGAGTTGCCTTTTTAAAGATATTGCATAATTTAGTTAGAATTTTTATTCCGAAGCTGGCGACTTTCACTGGTCTAATTACAGTCTTGCCTGCTCCATCTGTGCACGTCTAAAGCACAGGAAACAAATAAATTAATTTTTAAAAAAGAAGTCTTAAGAAATAAGAAAGAATAAATTCTATGAATAAAATGAATTTGACACCAAATTGCTTGTCATTTATACCTCTAATACATTTTTCATGTTTCTCCTAACCATCTCACACAACATATCCACACAATTTCTATATATGTGCTGGTCTTCAATGTATTTGCAATATTTATCACATAATGCTGTGTAAGCTTTCCATTGTTCTGCCATAGTCTTTATATCTAGGTTTTCTACCACTTGACTAATTTTCAAATTAATGTCTAGTACTGAAAAACAAGAGCAGGATAGCAATCACAACAAACTTTTTACTTATTTTAAATGTTTTTCTATGAAATCCAAACATTGAAAAAAATTAGAACATCTTGTTCTCAACATCAACAAGACAAACATGTTTGTTTCGCTTACCTTCCAATAAAACTCCTAAATCATCTGCTTGACTCAAATCAAAGGTGAAATGTGTTTCTAAAGACATCAGGTAAGTGAGCTGTAGTTCATGGCATGTTCTAAACAATTCTTTTAGTTGTCTTTGTGCTTTCAGAAGGCATTCACCATATACACATTCACTGAAATGGTCACAAAAAATATTTACAAATTAATCATTTAAAAGTTATATATTCATTTAAAACTATGACAATTAGACTATGTTAGAGACCAATTGCAATAATTGTGATGCAGCTTGTACAATGTAAAAATATTGAGTATTATTACAACATTTACCTAGTCTTGCAATGATTGAAGACAAATAAAATTATACATCCAGTGGCAGTAGGATATTGCTTCATGTTTGAGCACACAGAAGGTATAGATGCCAATACTTTCCTAATAAAGTCTGACAGCATTTGCAACAAACAACCTGCATTTTCTAGACAACTTAATAAGTAATTACAATTCAAGGAATCTATAGAATTCATAGCTGCACATAAACACTGAAAGAACAAAAATGTTTTCATTAACTTTATTTTAATCAAACTGTATTTGCAATAAAGTGTTAATAAATAATATATATAGTTGGTAAATATTATTTTATTTACCACACTTTTTTATTCAACAAGCCATAACATAACAAACCTGTTCGATACAAGTTTTGCACTCCAAAATTACATTATTGAAATGGTTGGTTGTACATCCATCTACATCACAAAGTGAGACTTTTAGTTTTGAAATGAGTATTTCATATGACTTAGTATCCATCTGTATTGATTTTAAGGAATATCTCAGAATTATTGCAAAAATATCAATTGATTTCAATACTACTTAAATATTCATAGTATGGAGATGGATTCTGTAATGTTTATTAGTACTACTTAATACTTTATCATATTATTACTACGTAAATAATTTTCAGTATTGAAGACTGTTGTGTGATATATTTGAAAAGGATACTATAGGACGATCAAAATTAAAATTTTCTTGCGTGTCACTCATCGTAGTTCTATGGTATTTTATATTAAAATAATTACAATTATGTACTGACTACTGAGCCGTACTTATAATAAGTATAATACAAATTATACTTAATAGTTAATATTTATTTTACACAGAACTTGTTGTTATTACTTTTTTTTTTAATTTTATGGCCTGGTAACGAGACCTTTAAGCCAAGTCTTATTTTCGGTCACATTTTTTCAAAGTCAAAGTCAAATCGTTTATTTCAATTAGACCATCTAAAATGGCACTTTTGAACGTCAAAAAAAAAATATAAAGATGATTCTAGTTGCCCCTTCCAAAAGGTAGTTTCGTGTGGAGAAGAATGGGCAAGAAACTCCACACTTACTCTTTTAAAATAGGTTTACAATATTTTGTTACATTTGTTAAATAATTATATGTGAAGACAATGTACTCTTAGAATAAACTACTATACTAAAAAAGTTAGTATACATGTTCCTCACATATTTACAAATATCGAAACCTTAGAATATTAACATTAAAGAGTAATAAAAATATTAAAAAAACACAACAAAACAGTGTGTGAGATACAAAAAAAATAATTACATTTGTAGCATTATATAAATTAAAAAAAATAATAATAATAATAATAATAACAAAAATTAACATATTTTTTTTTAGCAAAAAATCAGCAACCAATTTGATTTTGTCCAGGCTATAGAGCCAATCATAGGATTGTCCTATGGAGCAGGACCAGCATGTTTCCAAGCATTCTTATCTTGAATATAATCATCTAATTTGTAATATGCTTGTTTACAAAGTGTACTTTTAATAAAACATTTAAATTTTCGTTCATTTAGTTTTAAAATGTCACAAGGTATTTTATTGTAACATTTCACACAGTACCCCATAAATGAATTTTGAACTTTGGCTAATCTGAAAGATGGTTGAGCTATTTTATCTTTATTTCTAGTACTAAAATTATGTCTTTCATTTATTTTACTAAAAAGATGTAGATTCTTTCTTACATACATAATATTTTCATAAATGAATTGGCAAGGTACTGTCATAATATTAATCTTTTTAAATAGTTCCCTGAGAGATTCGCAACGACGTAGATTATAAATGGCTCTGACCGCTCTCTTTTGCAAAATAAAAATGGATTCTATGTCAGCAGCCCGACCCCACAGTAAAATGCCGTAAGACATTATGCTGTGAAAGTAGCTAAAATAGACCAAACGCGCAGTTTCTACATTGGTTAAATATCTTATCTTTCTAACCGCATAAACGGCTGAGCTCAGCCGCCCCGCAAGAGATGTGATATGAGGTCCCCATTGTAACTTCTCGTCTAGCGTGATGCCTAGGAAAACCGTTTGATTAATAAATTCCAGTTTTCCTTCATTCAACATTATGTCACATTCCTTACTTTTAACATTTGGCAACGTAAATCTAATACATTTAGTTTTTTTATCATTCAGTGCCAAATTGTTTACCGTAAACCAATTTTGGACCCGAAGAATAGAGTTATTCACGTCGTCACGATTTTGTGACCGTCGATCTACTTTAAAAATCAATGATGTGTCATCTGCAAATAACACCATCTTCGGTTTATTCTGAACTAATTGGGGTAAATCATTTATGTATACTAAAAAGAGGAATGGACCCAATATTGAACCCTGAGGAACGCCCATTGTAATTTCAGACCCTAACGAGTTTATGCCGTTAACCTGAACTTTAACCTGTCTGTTTTTCAAGTAAGATCTTAGTAAGTCCAGAGCTTTGTTCTTAATCCCGTAGTGATTAAGTTTCAGCAGAAGAGTCTCATGGTTTACGCAATCGAACGCCTTCGAAAGGTCGCAAAAGATTCCAATGGCATCTTGTGCTTCCTCCCAAGCGTTAAAAATGTTCTTGATTAGGGAGACACCGGCGTCAGTTGTACAACGCCCTTTGGTGAAACCGTACTGTTGTTCATGAAAGATGGAGTTTTTATTAAAGTGACATAACATTTGATTGAGCATTAACTTTTCAAAAACCTTACTGAGAGCTGGCAGAATTGACACAGGTCTATAATTATTGGGTTCTTTACTATCACCGGATTTGAACAACGGAACTACTTTACTGTGTTTCATGAGATCCGGAAAGACTCCTTGGTCTATGCTGGTGTTAAATATGAAAGCTAAATAAGGCGCAATAGTTTCGATGATAGAACTACAGACTTTTACAGACAATCCCCAAAGATCTTCTGTAGATTTAATTTTAAGATCTTTAAAAGCTTTCATAACAGCCTGGGGGTTTGTATATTGAAATCGAAACTCCGTAGGGCATGCCCTTACATTCTTCGTAAGTAACGCAAAAGAAAGTGCGGATGATGAACTTAAAGCTTCGGTAGTTTTAAAGGGAATATTGATAAAAAAGTTTTCAAATTCCTGAGCTATTTCTGCATTTGAGTTTATTGGGCCATGTGCAGTCTCTAAGTTAAATTCAGTATTACGCTGTTTTTTTCTACCAGTTTCATTATTTATTATTTGCCAGGTAGTTTTTATTTTGTCATCCGCTGATTTTATTTTATTACTAATATACAGTGATTTAGCAATTTTGCACACACTTTTAAAAGTTTTTGAATATTTCGCAACATGCTGATGAAAGTTTGTATTTTTTACATGTTGCCTTAGGCCATATAGTTCAAAAAGTTTATCCCTGCTCTTACGAATACCTGGAGTCGCCCAATCACTAAATAAGAACTTGGTGTAAATACTTTTTGTCTTTTGTGGAACAATGTCAATTTCTTTATGTAAGTAATCACAATTACAAAAAATATTATCTATACAAGTGGCAGAAGAAGCTGTCACTCTAGTTGGTTCCATAAAAACAATAGACAGATTAAATGATTTAAAAAGACTTATTAATCTGATACTATTTGAGTTTGTTTCTAATAAGTTAATATTAAAATCACCACTTATGATGATTGATTTACTACTAGTACTAAGTTTTTTTAACACATCTTCCATTACAGAATCAAATACAGATAGATTCTGATAGCCCGGAGGTCTGTAAACACATACTACAACATGCTTATCGAGCTCGACACAGGACAACTCTATAGAATGTTCAACTGACAATCTGATAATGTCTTTCCTTTCTTTAGATTTAACAGAATTTTTGATTAATATTAATGATCCACCGTGTATCATACACTTCCGGCTGAAATAGCTAACTACACAATAATTTTCATAATTAATAGACATTATCTGATGATCATCTAACCAATGTTCAGTTAAACAAATAATATCGAACTTGGTTTTTTTCTAAAAACATTTCTATTTCCAGTAATTTGGAAGAGCAACCTTGAATATTCTGATGAAATAATCTTAAAGTATGTTGCTTTCCTTTTGGTTTATTAAAACATGTTAAATTGCCAGAAGATACCTTTTTATTATCCACAAATAATAATTGATTATTTAAACGGTTAACTTCTGTTGTCTTACAGCCTAGTTTAAAGTACTATCCGGAGTGACCTCTACAGTTGTAGAATAACCTAAGGTATGTGTTCCAGCAGGAAGAGTATACTCTATCTGACTGGTATTGGCCTCCAAGTATGTTGGTATTATAGGTGGACCCTCCTTCGTACAACATAAAGATATATTATCAATCACTGTGTTGTTAGTGTAACTAGGCAACACAGTCTCGTCACTAATTTCACTTATTTTTCTGCATGTTATTTTACATGTTACGTTTTAACATTTAACATTAATTTACAACGTTCCACTTGTTTTCTTAAATCTTCCCTACTGGCTTTTTCGTTATAGAGAGAGAATAGAAAAATAACCATATATTATATAATTTATATATATTTATATATAGTAGATAGGTGACGATGGTGCGTTTAGTAACTGTGCGTTTTCCAATTACAGCACTAGAGCGCATTTTGCGGCATAATTCTCAACGTTGAGTGTTCCAACTACAGCAACGCTTCGCACAATTGAGCACTCTCAAAACGAATGCTCTGACTCGCGTGCTTCTCGCAAACAATACCAACACAGTGACAGAAAATTGACCAGTATTTTTCTTTAAGTTGGCATTTATCGAAATTTTCGTTAGTAAATATTATTTATTGTTGAAAAATTTGTAAGGCTTTCGTTTCGTCGTAGATTTTGAAAATAATTAAAGTTATTTCAAACTGCTAAAAAAAATAAATATTAGTATGGATGAAGGTATAAATAGTTACTTTTTTTATATTCCACATTTAAAATATGAATACAATTTTATTTTAAAATTCGGATCTGTAAACAAATTTATTTTACAGGATTATACTTTAGAAAAAATTGCAATGGTTTTGAAAAAGTATATAATTTTTTTAGAAATCATTAATAAATATTACTCAACACGTAAATGATGTAAACTTCTTACATGAAACTAAATATTTTACTGTTAATTTAGCTTGTTAAAACCTTATATTCTTTAAAGGTTTTCGGCAATGTAATCTAAGAATAATGGTACACGTGTTAGTGAAATTAACAAAGGCGAGAAGGCTGTTATGACCTCAGGTGTCATTCTTAGAAATTTCGGCACCTCAATAGGTTAGTTTTGTAAGCTGATTTAATCAAAACAATTTCACTTAAGTATGTTGTTGATGTCTAAATATAAAAATATTTCTTCGTCATAGAGGACTGTCGGTTACGTTTTAAGGAGTGAATTAATATAAGAGTTCGTTTTAACGAATGACGTTATAAAGAGTAGGTACACACTGTACATACTTGACAACACACTGGATGCTAAGAGTGAGCAATTCAGTATTATTTTGACGAAATCGTATATTATAGTTAATTACTGAATCCTATAAATTCGTCACAGAACCGTCAATTCGACAATTATGTTGACACAAATTATATTGGCCGAAACTCTTGTCTCGATCGCGACATCGTACGAACAGAATGATTGCCAAATCCAATACTTATGATTCCTGCTTTTCGAGTAACGGGCATATTATTCATTTCTCAAATATTTACACACCTTTAACAATCTAAACTAGTGAAATAAAAAGGAATACACTATATCTCAATTTAAGCGATTTCATGTAAAACCAATTATAATCGTAATAAATCAAAGCCTTATGCCTAAGAGCTGTAGAGGTGTAATTATTGTCTATATAGAAATTTCGTAATTCCATTTGTAATATTGTCTACGTATCATTATTTCGTAATAGTTTAGTGACCAGGACGGCCAGACCTTTGTTATTTAATAAAAGCTGAAAGTTCTTCTGTGTGCGTCCCCTATACAGGTAAGAACGACCAGGGACTATAGAGTTTGGGTAGTGGTTACTTGGGCAGGTAACAGGTAGTAAAAGAGTATAAAATAGTACCTTAAATTCGTTAAAGTATAAAGCTCAATTTTTTTATATTTTATTAGGGATAACTTTAGAAATCTCGTCATCCATTGCCAGACACTTATGACAGTTGCTACCCCCTGCCAGACACCCCTAAACTTTAATAAATTATAATTATACTTTCGTTAGAGTATAAAAGCTAAATTTTATACATGTTACTTGGGGACCTATGAAAAAATGTTACTTACCTCAATAGCCGGACAGTTTTAATGGTTTTTACACCTTGCCAGACATATTGAAAGTCCGCTGTAGGTCCGAGCGCGAGGTAACGACTGTTCTAGCGGGTGCGAGTGAGATAAGCGAGTGAAATCAAGTGTTTTCGCGAAAGAGTTAAAAAGTTTAAATTTTAAAGAGGCTCTGGTTAATTTTCTTATTTCACATTGGGCTACTGATGAAGTGGTGCCATTTATTGGCAACAAAACGATAGACATCAATTTCAATAGTAATAAGAAGTGCTGATACCTAAATTGCGGCTATAATGCTTAGTAACATGCATATCTTAATCATGGCATGGCAATAAGTTAAGATATGTGGACCTATCTAAAATACATGGAAAGTTGGGGCAGTTAATTTGACTAAGTTTACCTGGATTTCATGCCATCACAGGTTGTGATTTTAACTCTGCTTTTTCCAGAAAAGGAAAATCAATACCATACAGGAAATTAAAAAAAATATCCCGAGTACCAGGAAGCTTTCAAAAACTTCGGCAACAGCGAATTAATTGAAAATTTTGATTTTCAACAAAACATCTTCAATATTATTCAGAGATTTATATGCAGTGTTTACAATGTCCTTAATGTTATTGGTGTGGATGACGCTAGACTGCAAATATTCATCGATTCGTATACAGTTTCCGATGCAAATGAAGCTTTTGACCGGAAGAAGTTGCGAAATTTTGACGATAGCAATCTACCACCTTGCAAAAGCGAGCTATTACAGCAATTTCAGCGAGCAAATTATGTATGTACCATTTGGAATAATGCTCATCGGAAAAATCCAACCACATATCAACCAGACAATAATGGCTGGGTATTGAAAAATGGCAAATACCGATTCAAATGGTTTTCAGGAGATCAACTACCAAGTTATGTTAGTGATTCGCTCAAAACTCAATCAGGTATGTTATTATTATAACAAATTACTGTACATAATTTTTTAATTATCCATAATCGTATAAAATTGTTTATTTTTTATCAGAAACTGACGAAGAAGGCGATATTTAAGCCGACCCTGACATCGACTGGATGAGTAGTGACGAAGAAAATGAAATTATCGACAACAACGTAGAAATATTTTTTTACATGTAATAATACTTTTTTGTTTTTTATAATAATAAAATTGCATTGTTTACTTTATTTAACATAGCTATGAACGTAATAAAATATTTTTTTATTGGATATCTTTAAAGATCGCAGTCGACTAAGCGCTCGCGCTCGTACCTACAGCGGACTTTCAATGTGTCTGGCAAGGTGTAAAAACCATTAAAACTGTCCGGCTATTGAGGTAACATTTTTTCATAGGTCCACAAGTAACATATATAAAATTTAGCTTTTATACTCTAACGAAAGTATAATTATAATTTATTAAAGTTTAGGGGTGTCTGGCAGGGGGTAGCAACTGTCATAAGTGTCTGGCAATGGATGACGAGATTTCTAAAGTTATCCCTAATAAAATATAAAAAAATTGAGCTTTATACTTTAACGAATTTAAGGTACTATTTTATACACCTTAACTACCTGTTACCTGCCCAAGTAACTACTACCCAAACTCTATAGTCTCTGGTCGTTCTTACCTGTATAGGGGACGCGCACAGAAGAACTTTCGGCTTTTATTAAATAACGAAGGTCTGGCCGTCCTGGGCTCTTGCTCTAAATATCACGTTTGACGTTAAGATTTTAAAATAGGTACTTTACGATATGATCTTTAAAACAATAATTCCCGTCAGGCGTCAATATATAGGTAACGACACTTGAGGTGGGATTTTTTTGCTGTGCAGTACTCAGTACTAGTAGTAGTTGAGTTGTAGATTAGAGGAAATCAGGAGGAAAAATCATAAGAAATAATTTATAACAACGTAAACGATATTTCTTATAAGAGTTAAGAGCAACAACATCAAAAAGTAAATAACAGCCGTTACTAAGGTTATTTAATATACGAAAGAAGTTACAACGTATTTTTACCACTACGGGCAAAAAATATGTGATTTGATTTTTGTTTCCACTGATTTTAAGTTAAACGGTATTTAAAATTGTATGGAAACTCACATCATAATATTGATAGCTGACACATGACAATTGGCAGTGTTAATAATCAAATATGTCAAATTACAAATTAAATACTGCTAAATGCTATATTTTACTTTACGCACGTGTGCCATAGTACTGTGCACGTTGTGCCGGTTCTTTCTTAAAATCCCATGTGAGAAAGTAATTTTAATTTTTCAGAATAGAGTTGCTAAGTTGCTGCTCATGTAAATGATATAATGTCTGATAAACTAGTTGCTGCTATCAAGCAATTAGAGCTTGAAACAAAGAGCAGTGAACTTGTAAAAACATGTCAACAAATAAGGGTTAGTAAATAGGTACTCTAAGTATATAGGGGTAAATTTTAAGTGTACCATGACTATGGATCAATTCTTCTATCAATTTGTAGAAAAAAATCTTTTAAAACTAGATGTTTTTAGAGATATGATTTACACAAATACAAATTTCATTTTATGTTCGTGATCCATTCATGTTTCTTATTTCAGCTGTCACTATTAAAAGATCCTAAAAATACAGAAAGTTTAATATCCTCATTATCAGAATACATATTGAACTTTGATAATGCTGTGTTATTTGGAAAATATTTATCCAACCTTACATTAGCTCTTGTGTCATCAAAAATCCCTTTGAAACAAGTAATTCAAAGTAGTAATCATGATCAGGGAACAGATTGTGAAAAAACAAAACATTTAGAATATTCAATTGTGTTGGCATTACTGAGTGACCATCCCGATGTGTTACAGTAAGTGTTTATTTACTACCCATCTTGTTATTTAAAATGTGTAGATTTTCTTAACAAACTTTTGATCACTTCAATCTGCTATCTTTGAAAGATTTTCAAATTTGTTAAAGATTAAATTTCAATAAATAGATGTATAAGATATTTTAAAATGGTTGGTGGAGAAGATCCACAAAGAAACATAAAAAATCTAATGCTTTTTGTTGTTCTATTATAATTATTCATATTTTAATATTTTTTAGGTATGCACAGAAATATTTTCAAATTAATTCTGTGCCACCGTACGAGGTCTTCATTTACCATGAAGATTCATATAACGTGGCTCCTAAAAAGAGACGATTACAAGACTACAGACAGAAGATTTCTGATCTTAATATAGTGTTGTGCTGCTATAAGCTTCTGAAAAAGTTGCCAAATGAATTCTCTGCCAAATGGGATTGGACAAAATTTGTCATCAACTTCAGCCATCATGAAGATGATGAAATTAGATGGTAAATAATTAAGTTCTTTTGCATTATATTGCACTTAAATTAGGTAAATAAAAATGATAAATTAACAAAAACAAATATTTATTTCAGGATGGTTAAAGAGTGTATGGTCATATTAACAAACATGACAGAGTCTCAATCAAACACTGTTAGTGATAATCTAAAGATTTCAAAAGAGATAGAATTAAAAAATACATTTTCTAAGTATGACCAGGAAAATATCGGATCAGGAATTGATACCATGACCGTTACCACCGAAGCCATTATTAACATAGATGGTGTAGTGTTGCCAATATATGACAAAAATAATGTTAAACCAGGAAATTTGGTTCCTGTGAAATCCACTGTTAATAATTTAAGAAGTCTGGCGCTTGCAGTTGCCTCAGGTTTGTTTGCCACAATAATTTGACTAAATGTATTCCTGTCCTGTCTAAAAATAAAATGAATAAAAATTATCTATTTCAATATTTCTTTTCACAGGAAAGGCTCTATCATTAATGGGCCCCGTAGGGTCAGGCAAAACTTCTTTAGTGGAACACCTGGTGGGCGTGAGCGGTCGGAAGGGCATAGCATTTAAGAAAGTTCAACTCGGAGACCAGACTGATTCCAGAATGCTTTTGGGGTCTCATCAATGTACCGATGTGCCAGGAGAATTCCTTTGGGCACCTGGTGTACTCACTGAGGTCAGCCTTTAATGCATGTTTGTGAGGTGTTTATGTTTGTGTTCAGTGTTTTCCGAGCATATTTTTCTTTACGAAAAGTTAGCAATGAAGGCTGGATAGGAATGAGGCTATATGCATCCAGTGAGTCAATGATTTAGTCAATCTTAAAAATTTCCTAGTCAGTAAATGCATGTTTTATTTCAGGCAGTGCTAAATGGTCACTGGTTGTTGCTCGAAGACATAGATTGTGCAGCTCTGGATGTGGCTTCGACACTTAGCTCCTTATTAGAAAGAAACACTCTGTGTGTACCTGGCTTTCGAGATGCTTTGCCTGTCACCCCTGGATTTCAACTTTTTGTCACCCAAAGGTGATGTGCACGGAATAGATATAATATACCGTACACTTAAACTTATTAATAAAAAAATAAATAAATAATATTTTATTACAGGACCCTCATAACAAATTATGGCTTTCAAAAGAAACTATCGAGCTCCAGCACCCTGCTGCAAAAGCACCTGACAGTAATCAACGTCGAACCTCTCTCGAGGTCCGAGCTGAGCGAAGTGATACAGACTCTATATCCTAGTTTGTCCACTATCACACCCAAGATGATTGAAGTGTTCATGATGTTTTCCGTCGGATGCCACGACAGTTCCCTTCAAGCCACGGAAAAGTCACAGATAGACAACAACGCGGCGGTGATCCGCGGTTCGAGACTCATCTCCACCAGGGATTTGATGAAGTGGTGCGCCCGGGCAATCGTCGGCTACGACGTGTCGAGTCCCGATTCAGCTCTGAAAGTGTTGCAGGACGCTCTGGACATCTTCACGTGTTCCGTCTCGTCGCCGGAAAACAGGTTGGAGCTCTCGAAGAAAATCGGAACTTGTCTCGGAATCGTGGACACGAAGTCAGAGTTCTACTGCAAACACTATAAGCCGAATGTGTCGTTGCAGCGGGACGCTTTGGTGGTCGGTCGAGCCAGCGTTCCTCGAGTGGAAAAACGGTTGGAGTCCATCGACTTCGACAGTAAAGAGGCGGTCTTTTCTTTCACTCGGCAATCGGCATGTCTGCTCGAGAGAATCGCCTGTTGCGTCCGGTCAAACGAACCCGTCCTGCTCGTGGGAGAAACGGGGACCGGGAAAACGTCATCCGTGCAGTACCTTGCCCGGCAGACGGGTCGCAAACTTGTGGTCATAAATATGAATCAACAGTCGGACTCCGCCGATTTGTTAGGTGGGTACAAACCCGTGGACCTCAAATTCGTTATTCGCCCGATAAAGACCGAGTTCCTGGATTTGTTCACGAGCTTTTATAACGCCGAGAAGAACCAGAAGTTCCTGAGTCACGTCGAATTCTGTCACGACACCGAGAACTGGTCCGCGCTGCTGGCCCTCCTGAAGCAAAGTCACAAGGCGGCCGTGAAGAGGCTGACGGCCGAGAACAAAAATCGTAAATTAAAAAACTGGTTGAGTTTTGGACACAAATTGGCTAAACTGGAGCAGCAAGTGAAAGCCGAGTCGAGGCTGACGTTCGCTTTCATAGAAGGTTCGCTGGTTAAAGCGATGCAGGAAGGCCACTGGGTGTTGCTGGACGAAATCAACTTGGCGTCGGCGGAAATACTGGAATGTCTGGCTGGACTTCTCGAAGATAAGGACGAAACGATCGATCTATTAGAAAAAGGAGACAAGGTGCCCATCAAAAGACACCCCGACTTTACTCTTTTCGCATGCATGAATCCCGCCACGGACGTGGGCAAGAAGGACTTACCCGTGGGACTCAGGAATAGGTTCACAGAATTTTTCATAGACGAATTGACCGAAAGAAATGACTTGATGCTTCTCATCGGAGACTATTTATATCACATGAACTTGAGTGGGGCCGTGTTAGAATCGATATATGCCTTTTATTCATCTATTAGAAAAGAAGCCAGGCTTAACTTAGTCGACGGGGCAGGTGCGGAAACTTCCTTCACTTTCGTGCTTTCGGGCTTAAGGTGTTTCTATTTATTGTTTTGACCGACCCGATTTCAAATTTTTTCCAGGGAATGCCCCCCACTATTCTCTCAGAACATTGTGCCGAGCCTTAACGGCCGCCGCCAAAGCCAAGTGCGGGACGGTGGCGCGCTCCTTGTACGAGGCGTTCTGCCTCTCCTTTCTGACCCAAGTGGACAGATCTTCACATCCCAAAGTGGAAGCCATGATCGCCAAGTATGGTTTCCTTAACTTACTTGAGATGCTCTCTTCTGACTCTCGGCGCTCATTTCAATAATATGCTTATTTTTATAATTTCAGGGCAGTTCTCGGAAAGAAAAATATAAAATCTGTTCTGAAGCAACTCATACCGGAGCCGAAGGCGCAAGGTCAAAACTATTTACTCTTCGAAGGTCACTGGATTCCTCAAGGAAAGTTAGAGGTCGACATCCCGGAAGATTACATTTTAACTCCCGCGGTCAGAAGAAACCTTCTCGACATCGCCCGCGTTATATCTTTGGGCCGACTGCCGGTGCTGCTGCAGGGAGACACGTCCGTAGGGAAGACGTCGCTCATCACGTACATTGCGAAAGCTTCGGGCAACTATTGCGTCAGAATCAACAATCATGAACATACCGATGTTCAGGAGTACATCGGGTCTTACGCTTCCGACGCCCACGGGAGCCTCGTCTTTAGAGAGGGCGTGCTCGTGGAGGCTATGAGAAAAGGTTACTGGATAATCCTAGACGAGCTAAACCTGGCTCCCACCGATGTATTGGAAGCTCTCAATCGCGTTTTGGACGACAATCGAGAGTTGTTTATACCGGAGACCCAAGAAGTAGTCAAGGCCGATCCGAATTTTATGCTGTTCGCTACTCAAAACCCCCCCGGCCTCTACGGCGGGAGAAAGATGCTTTCGCGGGCCTTTAGAAACAGATTCGTCGAGCTGCATTTCGATGAGATACCACGAAGTGAACTAGAAACCATATTGCATCAGAGATGTCACGTTCCACCGACGTACAGCAAGAAGATGGTAGAGGTCATGGCGGAACTTCAAGTTAGAAGGCGTGGCTCCGCTGCCGTTCAAGGAAAAGACGGCTTCATAACTCTGAGAGACTTATTCAGATGGGGACAGAGATACAAACACGCTTCCAAAGAGACGTTAACCGCAGACAAATTTTATGATTGGGATCAACATTTAGCCGACGAGGGCTACCTGGTCTTAGCTGGAAAAGTGCGCCAAACAGACGAAAGAAAAATCATCGACGAAGTAATAGAAAAGCATATAAAAAGAAAAGTCATACCGAAAAATCTGTTTAGTCTGCATCAGAACACTTCTCCCGTCACTAAATCTACTTTGGAGACGATATTAAGTAATCGTTTACCGGAATTTCAGCACGTCGTTTGGACTTACAACATGCGAAGACTGGCCGTTCTCATAGCCAAAAGTTTCTCATTCGACGAGCCGGTCTTATTAGTGGGCGAAACCGGGTGTGGCAAAACTACAATTTGCCAAGTATTAGCCGCCTTGAGCCAAAGAAAATTACTCTCTGTCAACTGTCACATGCACACGGAAAGTTCAGACTTCTTAGGTGGCCTGAGACCGGTACGTCAGTATAAAAACGATGGGAAATTGTTCGAATGGGTCGACGGACCTTTAATAAACGCCATGGAAACTGGACATTTATTTCTCGCCGACGAAATCTCCCTCGCGGACGATAGCGTCATAGAGAGAATGAACTCGTTGCTCGAACCCGAGAGACAGCTCGTGCTCTCCGAGCGAGGCACCGACGGGAGCTCCGATATCGTCGTGGTTAAGGCTGTTCGAAACTTCCACTTTATCGGGACGATGAACCCCGGAGGAGACTTCGGGAAGAAAGAACTTTCGCCCGCATTGCGTAATAGATTTACTGAAATATGGTGCGACCACGTCAGTTCCAGAGAAGACTTGTTACAAGTTCTCGAAAGAAGTGTCGCCAGAGGTATAGCGCTAGCGAATCAAGAGGACGGCAGTTCGGGAATCGGAAACTGTATACTGGACTTCAGCGAGTGGTTGAAGAGCTCCGAAGCGACGAATAAGTTTCCTTTCAGTATACGTGACTTACTCTCGTGGGTTCACTTCATCAATGCCACGGTCGAGAAGCAATTGTTGGACGCGGCCGAGGCGTACGTACACGGCGCGTGCATGACGTTTCTGGACTGTTTCGGAACGGCTTTGACGGGTCACATGGACTCGGAAACATTGCATCTATTACGTCAAAATGCAATAACTTTTCTCCTCAATCAGATAAAAGCGCTTGGATATGACAATATTGATAATTTAAGGGACAAACTAAACAACGAACGTTCATCGGTATCGGCCGGATACGACGGAAATAAGTTCGGGATCCATCCATTTTACATTGAAATGGGGTCAAATAGGAGGTCGAACGATACCGAGATGTTTACGTTCACGGCACCGACCACGGCCGCTAATACGTTACGGCTTCTCCGCGGCCTTCAGCTGAATAAAGCGATTTTATTGGAAGGAAACCCAGGCGTCGGAAAGACGAGTCTAGTGACGGCTCTGGCGAAGAGCTCCGGACATAGAGTAGTCCGGATCAACTTGAGCGATCAGACGGTGAGTAATTGCATTCTCAGTGCGGTCTTTGTCGAACCTTCCTTTAACAACGGCTTTAGTGAAATTTTTTACTTTTCAGGATATAACCGACCTGTTCGGAACGGACCTCCCGTCGGAAGACGGCTCCTTCGTGTTCAAGGAAGGAGCTTTCTTGAACGCCCTCCAACGCGGAGATTGGATTCTCTTGGACGAGCTCAACCTCGCGCCCCAGCCCGTCCTCGAAGGTCTCAACGCTTGTCTGGATCACAGAGGTGAAGTCTTCATCCCGGAATTGGGAAAAACCTTCAAAGTGCAACAACAAACTAAACTTTTCGCCTGTCAAAATCCTCTCAAACAGGGCGGGGCGAGAAGAGGTCTGCCGGTGTCCTTCCTCAACAGATTCACCCAGGTCTACATCGACACCTTGACGAGAGACGATCTCGCTTTCATCGTCGAAGCCCAATACTCACAAATACCCACAGACATACTGCACAGAATTGTAGATTTCAACTGCAGAGTCTCCCGTGAAATAACAGAAATGCAGTCCTGGGGCCACAGGGGTGCCCCTTGGGAGATGAACTTACGCGACGTGCAGCGGTGGTGCGAGGCCCTCGCCGACGATCGAAGGGCGGGGCGCAGTCTCGCCCCCGGGAAATATGTCGACATACTCTACGTCAACAGAATGAGAACGGAGGAAGACAAAGAAAAAATGGCGACCGCGTACGACGAAGTCTTCCTTCCCGACTACCCGAGGAGCGACGGACGTCCCGCGTTCACCGTCGACGGCGGCCATCTCGTAATCGGAGATATCAAATTGAAAATAAATAACGAGAGACTGTACAAAAACAGACGAGCCACCGACACGAATCTGATCGTCCTCCGAAACCAGTTGCCCACTTTGAAGGCGCTGGCTCAAAACGTGAAGATGAATTGGCTCACCCTTTTAGTCGGACCGACGGCCGCGGGAAAGAGTAGTTCCGTTCAAGTTCTGGCCGACATGAGCGGAAACGAGTTGCACGTTCTACCGGTGACGTCCGCGATGGACGTGTCCGACCTTCTCGGAGGGTTCGAACAGGTCGATTACAATAGGAACCTCGAAAACCTCTATGACGTCATCGAAACGCTCACGATGCGAACGGTCAGAAGCTTGTGGATCTTACGAGACTTCAAGTTGTGGAAATCGAATAAATTGCTAAGCGATCTATTCGAGTATAGGAACATAAAATCCAGCGAAGACGACAGAGATTTCTACAACGTCGACGTAAAAGTGCTCAAGCGCAAGTTGCACTTTCTTTTGCAGCATTGCGAGAGATTAATCGAATGTAGCAAAATGTGTGATCTGCCCACTGAGAGCATCGAGAAAAGTTTGAATAACTTGAGGAATTTACAAGTTAAAGTGTCAAATGCTATATCCGTAAACGCCGGAGGAAGATTTGAATGGATAGATTCCTTACTCGTGAAAACTATGACGGAAGGCTCTTGGCTTCTGTTAGACAACGTGAATTTGACTTCGGCGGCCGTATTGGACAGACTCAACGGTCTGCTGGAGCCCGACGGAGTGCTCAGTATACCGGAGCGAGGAGACGTGTGTGAGATCCGACCGCATCCCGACTTTAGGATTTTCTTCACGATGGATCCCAAGTATGGTGATATTTCTCGAGCTATGAGGAACCGTGGAGTGGAAATTTATCTTTTGCGACCCGAAAACTCCGATTCGGGGCTCTCCGAGACTATGCCCTACATGGACTTGGTCGCGTTGTTGAACTCTTGTGGACTTCCCGCCCGATATCACGAGGTTTGCATACGATGTCACGAGTCTATGGCGCAATTTATTCAAGGTAACTCGGACACCCATTTTATTTAACGTTTTTTTTTTAATTGTATTCACTAAATATTGTATTTTTCGACAGGCTTAGAGCGTCCGACCGTCTCGCAGCTTCTCCAGGCTGCCCATTTAATCTGGCAGCAGCTGGTGAGAGGAGTCGACTTCGAAGCCGCGACGCTCAATAGCTTCTCCGATGTTTACATTAAACCCAGGAGCGGGAGCGACTTCGCTTCGAACGTGACCCACTCCTTGGCGGAAATGAAGAACAGGATGTTGCGCGAATTGGAAATCGTATTGGGCGAAGAGACTTCGAGGACGATCCCCGACTCGGCCGATCATACGCTGTCGGTCAGAGGGCTGTGCGCGAACTCTGACTACGAGTTGACTCGACAGATATGTTACCCGTGCATCGGACAAGTCAACGACGAGGGGTCGAACGATACTTCGAAGCATCTTTTATTCAGCCTCCTGACAGCGTATCAGAAATGTCCTCCGGAGCGAGTGCGAGCGATGTTCTATTACTTACGTGGAGCCATATCGAAAACCGAAAACAGCGAATCGAAGACATTGGCTGCAGAACTGAACGACCGATCGTTTAGGCACTTCAGCGAAGCGAACTGTCAAGTTGAGCATTTCCAAAGGTTTTACAGAGAGTCTTTCGACGTCGACGACGTGAGCGTCAATCGGTCGAACGCGAGTTTTGCTCTTCTGTATAGTGCGTGTCAAAAGATTCTTCTTAAATGGTCGACTAGAGAAAATGCATTTTCAGCTCTCCACTACTCGAGCGCCGTCGGCGATCGCAGCCTGACCGATGATTTTGTTGAATATCCCATTTTGAGGAATTGCCAGCAATACATTAAAGCGATTGATGAATTTCTTCTAAAAGCTATTCGCCAAGCTCGCGACGGCTTCGACGACCGAATGGCGGGTCTGACCGTACAGTTATTGAATTGGCGAGTCCGCTTCTACAAAAGCTGTAACTTGCCCATTTTCACGATGCAGAAGCGCACTCCGGTCTTGAAGGAGGACATCGTACCTATCCTCCAAGTTCACAACAAATGGGTGCAAAAATATTTATTTGGAACGTTATTTAAAGTATTACACGAACCGGAGCTGTTGGCCGATTTCAAAAAAAACGTATCGAAGTTAAAACTAAATATCGAGGAAGAGTACACGGAAGTGGCGAAGATTAGTAAAAAGCTGCGAAAAAGCTACGGCCAGTCAAAGTTACCGAAGAACCAATCGGAGTACGAACTGAGCGTCGACCGAGCTAAGGTGTATCGAGAGATACACTTCGACATGTCCCGACCGATCGACAAGCAGTTGTATAAAATTGTTAACATTTTATACGATTTGGATAACAGTTTCGCTATCGATATACCGAATGAGGAACGTCTGAACGCGATCGAAGGCAACGTTCGAAAGGCGAAAGAGGTCAAAGAAGTCTTTCGTTCGGAAATAAAACTAATTCCAATTAATTCATACGTAATTCAAAGGATTCTTAATGTCATACAACCGTTTTTACCGGAACTATTGAGGAAATTCTACGGGACCGAAGACATCCTAATGACAAATGACGAGAAGAGTGCCTTGGAATTGTTATCTTGGGTAATCGATGACGCCAAACAAATCAAAGGATTTCCACCCGCCATTTTAGATCTATTACAAGTTTTGCTTGAAATGAGAAAAGAAAATGAAAATGTTATCACAGAGAGGTAACACCCTTTTTTCAGTTTTTATCTCTTCTTTCCTTAAGTAGGATCCCAGAAATGACGCCAAACAAAGCTAATTAACGTTTAAAGTGTTGAAGGTGTTATAATATTATTTCTAGGTTATCTTCCCTTGCAATGCGATTGTGGGACGAGCTCTACAAGTTGCTCACGAGCTCCCCGGCCGTTCATCCGACATTGTTTTTGACCGAGACTAACTCGGACGATGAGACGACGGAGAGAATCCCCGCCAACACTTCGAGGGTCTCTACGAATCTACCGTTGATGACGTATTATGTTCAGCGGTTGACCACATTTGTCGAAGACGGTAAACTCACTGTTATCGAACGATTACAAGTAAAGTATTGCTATTGCTGTAACTTAGGCTGAGCTCTTTGGGTTTTCAGGTAAACCTTTGTTGGCCCACGAGAAAGTTTCGCTGAAAGATCGCGTGGAATATTCGCTTCAACTGGAGAGCCTTTTGAACACTTTGTGGAATAACATCGGCACATTGGACTTTGCGGCTGCGGCCAAATCGTAAGTGACAGCAATCGTTTCTTACCATTTTCAATCCTTTTGTTTCAATTTGAAAATGATTTGTTCATAAAAATCTCGACTTTTTCAGAAAATCTGACGCAGCGTTTGAACTAAAGAAATATGAGCATTTTATACTCTACCTTCACTCAATAATTGTGTCAAAATCGAAGAACCCAATCGTAAAACTGACGGAAGATAAATTTGATTTTGTTCGGAGAAATCTTAGAATCGAACCACACTCGATGGAGATGCTGGCGATGGCGGAAGAGGTAAACAAACAAATACGAGCGGAACTCGAAGTATCCTCTGATGAACAGAAAATGAAGGTTCTAACTTCACAACTGTCTCTATTGACGAGTGTTCTGTTCGCACAATTCATGTCGGAGATAAGTCCGATCGATCACGTCGAGAAACACCGAATGAAAGTCAAGTATATAGAGGAAGACCTGGAGACGTTCGACGCGATGCTCGGGTCGTATTATCTCCAGGGAGTGGTGGCGGGGACGGTCACCGAATATCGCAATATTTCAAGAGCATCTCAGGTCTCGATCGAAGAGCTAAGCGCGGAGAACTCGGAGGCGGCGAAGAGGGTTCATCCCTACTGCGCAGTGATAATGGATCTGAAAGAGCGAACGGCTATGAGGGTACATAAATATGCATCCGGCGACACTTTCCGACCGAACGAACCGTCGTATTGTAGCTTTGCGAAGGTAAGTCTGTTCGTAACCAAGCGAGTTCCTTCTTTTCTTTCCGAGTCCTCTCTAGAAATTTCAGTATTTCGGGTACTCCACCGATCGAGTTTACGTATTGAAAGTGCTATTCGTTTCAGGAATGCAGACATTTTACGAAATCAATCTTGTCGGAACGGACTATTTCCGGAATAACTTCTCGTATGGTATCGACCAGCCGTCAATTGTATGAAGAGTTTCGGTCGAATCGCGTCGACCCATCCACGATAGAAAACTCGAAGACCGTCGCGAGGGAGGCGTCGTCTTGGCTCCACTCCGCCGAAGCCTTTTACAGAAAGATTGAGACGTCGTATTCCGAAGCCTTTCCCGACTTGGCTAAACCGCTTCAGAGTTCCATCTCCCAAATGATATACGGCGTCACCTCTCTGAGGGACGTCATCAAAGAATTTGTCGTAAAAATAGAGCGAGGGCCGACTTTGCCCCGACTGTTGAGAGATTTGGTCGAGTATCCGAATAAGATCCCAAAGAGGGGCGCGAGGGACGAACATCTCGACCGATTCGTGACTCCACATTTCTTGCGGCTGAGTAAGAACGCCGGCGACGGTTCGGATCCTTCGAGGACGGAAGCCGCCCGTTTGGAGTGAGTGCTCGATTTTCACACTTTCGCACTAAGTCAATTTAGTTCGGTAACTTTAATTGTCTACGGGTGTTATTAAATGCCGAGCTTATCATTTTTAATTTCAGAAAGAATGTATTTAACGAAACGATTTCAGACTACTAAAAATGAATCTATGCGAGCTGAAGATGCTCTGCAACCCGTCGGGGTCCGCGGACGAAGCCCGCTCTCGAGCGGTCGTCGCGACCCTCGACGAGCTCGTCGCCGCTTGGGACAGACAGAGAAGGGACATCGAGAGAAAGAGACAGGACGACGAGGCTTTATACGTCACTAAGTAATGTTGGCCTTTTGAAGAGCAAATTAACATACGATGTGGAAACAAATCTCTCTATTCTATTGTTATTATTTCAGATCTAAATGTGAAGACGAAGACGAAGAAGCGACTGCACGAGAGGAAATCTCGGAGATGTTCCCGTCTTTCGCCGACGACGACTTCGGTGAATTCAAACCGCCGACGCTCGAACAACGGAAGGTCGAACCTCGGCGGACGGAGAGAGAGAGGCCGCTCATGAGCGCCGAGGACGTGTCCCTGATATATCTGTGGCACTCGAACTTCGTCCGAAGCGTGACGGCGACCGAATGGATGAACGGCCCCAAGAAAATCGTAGGCAACGACGTGATCGGCCCTCTGCTGATGCGCTATCCCACGTTCGCTAGGGTCGTGCGAGAGTCTTTCGAAGCCCTGAACGCGGACTTCGAGGGTCACGTCGCGCCCGGCCTCTTGGTGCTCCTCTCCGACATTAAATCGAAGGTCGACGGACTCGGTGAGTGCAAACTCCGGTATTATTATTTATATCGTCTGCGCTCGTGGTCAGTTCGAAATACGCGCTGCTGAACTTTTCAATTGACTATTCGCGGACGACGTCTAACCGTGGGAAGATTTTTACAGAATCTGAGAAACCGAACTCTAAGAACCACAAGGACTTCTACCGCTCGCCGTGGGTGTCCGAAAGCGGGCAATGCTTACCGATACTCCGGAGGACTAGAGAGGAAACCGGCGCTCTGCTGGAGCAGTGGCCGGACTTCCCGACGCTCAAAGACGTGAGTTGCTTCGTCGCTCCCCAGCCTATTCGAGAATCGTTCTTACGAGTTACTCTCTCTAATTAATAATTTTATTTTGACAGATAACGGCGATAGTTGATAGGATATTGAGTTTTCCAATAACCAGTCCCGTCTCCCGATTTCTGACGGGTTTAGAACTTTTACGGGACAAAATCGAAGAATGGAACAAAAACGCTCACAAAAAGAACGACCTGATCGAGCTGTCCCTGTGTATCGGGCGACAGATCGTCGATTGGAGGAAACTGGAGATGAGCCACTGGAGGGAGTGCCTCAACAGTCTCTATCAGAGGTGGGTGTACGCATCGGTCGGCTTCGGCGGGAGCCTCGACGGGCTCCAGGTGGGTGACGTGAAGTATTGGATTCCAGGAAACAGGCCGAGGCACACAAGTACTGGTTCTACGTGTACTCCGTGGTGGGGTCGTACCTGGACAGCACCAAGAATCCGAACGACGAACCGACGTCCCCCTCTCGCGTGACGGCGGTCCTGAAGGACTTCATGGAGAAGTCCGACGTGGGCGAGTACGGCGTCCGGTTGGATATAGTCTACGTGTACCACTGCCATCTGGTGTCGTTGGAACCGAGTCCTCGGAGAGGTACCGTGAGACGTCGCTTTCCTTCTCGTCAGTCGGAAATGACTAGAATTTAGCAGTAAAGCCAATTTGATTTTCAGACGAGTTATTGTCGATTTTCTGGAACACGCACAACTACTACGCCCAGTTCGCCCCTCGAGTGGCGGCCTTCATCAAAGAGAGACGCGCCCCGATAGAGAAGAAGTTGAGGGAATTCGTGAAAATATGCTCCTGGGATCGAGATCTCAGCTATTGGAGCGTAAAGGATACGGTCGACAGGGCCCACAAGGCTCTGCACAAGCACACCAAAGAGTTCGAGGTTCTCTTTCGCATAGGTAGAAACGGATCCGTTCCTCGACGATTCGCTCACTCAAAATTAACGTTTCCATCTACAGAAAGTGTTGGCCGAGGGCGTGTCGAAGTGTCTGGTGGACGACGGCGACGACGTCGGAGCCTCCCACGTGGGCATTTGGGACAGGCCCAAAAGGTCCACGACCAACAGCATCCAGCCCGGAGGTGCCTACATGATCGATCCCCTGCTGTACTTGCTTCAGCCCAGAAACGTCAAGGTGCGACGTCGAAACGACTTTCTCTACCATCCGAAGAATGGACTTTTGTAACGATCGATTGTGTTTCAGAAATACCTGGACCGCGCCGCGGAGCCGTGTCGCCCGATAGCCGAGGGTAGTCTTCTCTCAAAAATACCCTCGTTGTTGAACAAGGCTAAAGGGCTCTGCAGAGACGTCCTGGTAAACTGCGGCTACTCGTCCTTGGTTCAGGAACTGGACGATTTCGTCACTATGGTCATCGACACCGGCGCCCACCTCGCTTCTTTAGAGGTATGGACCTCCGTCGTTTCGCCTGCTTCATGACATTTAACTTAGTCGGACTCGTGTGACGCTCCGTTACGTTCAGGTGGATTCGTCTCTCCCGAAAGACAAACAGACGTCGCAGGCGAAGAACATAGTGCGGCAGAAGCGGAAAGCCCTCGCGGACCTCTTCAAATACTTGGCCAAGATGGGCCTCAACTATCGCACCGGACTCGTCATAGTGTCGGCTCAGGAGGAGTTGTGGGACTTCACCGTTCCTCCCGTAGATTTGGACGCCGCCATTAGCTACCTCAAGACCAGGTATGCCGGTCGTCGGCGCTGCGCTTTTATCGACGTTTCGAAGGACTGGATGTATTCGCTTGTATTTCAGGCGCTGCGATCCGACGTTATCTCTGCTGTGGTCGGGCTGTGAAAAGTACTTCCAGAAGAACATCGCGAGACATCGTCTTCTAGCCGCGGCCTTGGAGGTGCCTCACGCCGACCTGGGTCTGCAAAACATCGAGCGTTGCAAAGGGTTCGCCGCTCAACTTATGGTGAGTCGGGTGACTCGATCGTGTTAAGTCGATGACGGTCATTCGGCGTATATATAACTTTTGAAAATATTTTTCCAGAAACTTACAAATTCACAGAAGAAGTCCATCGCCAAATACTCGCGATACATCTGCGACTTGCGAACGGTCTCCGCCGGCCTCACCAACGCTCTCGAGCTGGACGTCGTCGGCGTCCAGTTGTTGACGATAGACGACAAAGTCGAGATCCTCTCGGAGTGTTTTGCGAACGCGTCGATTCTTCTAGATCAGTTCAGTATAGTTTTGAAGTCTCTCCCGGAAACAAATGTCGGTTCCGGCTCGGAACTACAGTTCGATAGAAAATTATCCCGTTCGCGTCTACCGCAATGCTATAATAAAAGTGCCGAATGGACCTCCTTGTATAAAAAGGTTAAATATATCATAGCCATGGTCGACAAGCGGAGACTGTCGCTGAACAAATTGATTGCGAAACCGAAACGGATCGGAAGAACCGTCGAGGCTTCGTCGATTTCACAAAATCATATTGATGTGACGAACGATGCTATCGTCGCTCTAGGGTCCATTAAAGAAAACGTAAAAATGCTTTTGGAGGAATACAAATTTGACGTTCGGTACCCTCTGGCACATGAAAGTACGCGACATCCGATATTACGTGGTTTGGAAGACTTAGAAGAACACATAAGCGACACCCTTTATGAAATACGCAATTTAGACGAATCCGTCGACGCTTCGATGGAAGCCTCGAGAGATGACTTTCTGGAGCGGGCCGAAGACGTCGTGGCCGTCATGCTGCTCACTGTTCAATCTCTATATAAGGAACATTTACAAAGGGACAGCGGCGAAGACATCTTGGACGTTATTGACGATTTTATTGACGATAATAAAAAAGGCGATCAAGAATCCAAAGAAATACTTGAGGATAAACATCTGAAGGGCCTCCTTCACGATAAGCTTTCGAGAGATGGTAAATTGCTCCAACTGGACGTGCTGATAGCCAAATTACAGAGTTTGACGATAAATTACATACGGTACATATCGACGAAGAAGGACGTCGACGAAGTGAGATCGGTCGTCATGAGGGTGGTGCCGATTTTAGAGCAGATCGTTCTTTTCGCTCAGTACTTCGTGTCGCAGAAGGTCGCCGTCCATCGAGTTTCTTGTAAAATGCTGTCCGTGCTCTTGAAGATCTTCTCTGATCTCGCCACTAAAGGGTATGAACTCTTATTTTAACGCTACGATTAGCCCGCTCGAGAAACGATTGTTCAATTGTAATATTTTGAAGGTTCTGCAAGCCATCCGACTTGGACATGGAAGAGGGCGAGGGCGACGGTCCCGGAAAATTGTCAGGGGGCATGGGGCTAGGGGACGGAGAGGGACAGAAGGATGTCTCCGAGAGAATTGAAAACCAGGTGAACCAGCCACTTCGGTAAAGGTAAATCGCGTCTCCACAATGGAAATATTCAATATTAATTCTATTAAACAGGATCAATTAGATGACGCTCAGAAACCGGGCGAAGAGAAGCATGAAGAAGATCGTGACTGTAAAGAAGAAGAGAAAGGGGTCAATATGACTGATGATTTTGATTCCCATTTGCAGGACGTCGAACAAACAGGTTTGTTCGTATTAACATTTTAAGCTACAGCTAAAGCATAATTACTTGTTTTTGCATTCAGTTCAGTTCTCGAAGCGGCCACTTAACACTCCACAGGACTTTTCTCGTGCTTTGGCTTGCTTTAATCTCAAGACGGATGTGTTATCTTTTTAGAAAACGATTCGGACCAAGAGAACGACGATGATGATGCTGATAAGCAAATGGGAGATACGGAAAATGCGGCTGAAAAGTGAGTTTACAAATATTCGCGATTTAAAAGAAATGTCATATGTTTTGTCACTATGTTCTAGACGCAGACTTTATTAAATCGGCTAATTTTAGGTTAGATCAACAAATTTGGGGCTCAGATGAAGAAGACGAGGAGGAAGATAAATCTAATAAGAAAGAGAAAGAAGAGCGTGGCACGGGTGAGAGCACCGGTGAGAAAGAGATGGGTGCCAAAGAAGAAGAACAAGGGACCGACGATGGCAGTGACGGGAAAGAAAAAAAGCAGAAAAAAGACATTAACGAAATGGAAGAGAACGAACTTGATGACGATCAGGTAAATACTAATCCAATTATATTATATATTTCTTACATAAACGTCTTAATACTTAACCTTCGGTGCAGCTAAGCTTAAAATAATGGAGGATGTGGATCTTTGAATTAGAAGGTCATATATATATTTCTAACACGTGTAGGTGGACCCACACTACGGCAAGCACCCAGAATACCCTGAACCGGAAGAATTCGAGCTACCAGAACAGAACAACGACGGAGAAGAAGATGCCAACAAGGTAAATATAACAATTAGACCATGTTTGTGTTGAACATTTAAACTATTTTTATAGTTTTATTTACGTTTATTCTTTTTATGTATATACTAGCTGACCGGGCAAACGTCGTTTTGCCATATATATCAATAGGGGTTGATCGTAGAGGGGTGAAAGTTAGGGGTTTGTATGTATTTTTTAATGCTGTATCATAAAAAAAATAAAAACAGAAAAAATATCTGAAAATAAAAAAAAAATATTTAGGGGTGGACTACCCTTAACATTTAGGGGGATGAAAAATAGATGTTGTCCGATTCTCAGACATACCCAATATGCACACAAAATTTCATGAGAATCGGTCGAGCCGTTTTGGAGAAGTATGGCAACGAAAACTGTGACACGAGAATTTTATATATTAGATTAAAAGGTTTAAATGTTTTAGGAAGGTGAAACAGAAACAGAAAATCCGTTCGACATCGATGTGATGAAGCAGAATTTGCAAGAAGAGGAGCAACCCAAAGAAGGTGAAGAGAAGGAAGACAATAAGAACGGCCTAGAGCTTTCGAGCGATGAGGAAGATGGCGAGCAGGCTGACGAAGGAGACAAAGGGGTGAGGCGTTCGAGTTCCGTAGAATAAAGTGAAACGTATTCTTTTGTCTTCTCATGGTATCAGCCTTTTCAAGTTAAACATTTTCTTCGTTATGTTTAAAGTGTTAGCGTGATTAACTGTACGAAAAAGGTTAAACTTTTAAAAAGGTTATTAAATTATAAGATTTGTGCCATGGTGGCGTTAACTGTATGTGTCTCTGCAATAGGAACAAGACGCTGAAAGAGAGAAAGAAGCCACGGACGATCAAGGTGATAACGAAGATACAGAAGACAACGAACAGGATGAGGATATGGAACCGGAGACTCAGGCTCAGGATGAAGAAATCCAACCCGATCAACAAGAAAAAGAAGATAAGGAATTGCCGCAGAATCCAGAGGCGATGAAAGAAAACGACGAAGCGGAAGAGAAGCAGCACGAAGCCAACCCTCAAGCGAACCCGTCTCGAGACGACCCCTCGGCCGGGGAGAGAGCCGAAAACGCCCAAATGGACAAAGGCGTCAACGACAACGTCGAAACTAATCCCGAACAGGCGAAGGACGAGGACGCCGCGCCTCATGTAAGGTTTACGGATTATTCGGTTTAGACTTCCCGACAGATCAAACAGACATTTATTATATTTCGTGATTTCGTAGGAGCAAGCTCAAGAGCAGGTCGGCGAAGACAAGCAGTCGACGGGACGTTCGGAACTGGACAAGAGCGACGAGGGCCATCGCGGGGAGAAACGAGCCGCCAAGGCCGAAGCGTCGCAAGAGAAGCGGACCGAGCACGAGAACAAACCGGGCACCACCGACCAGGAGCGCACCTTGGGTAAGGCCGACTTCGCTTCCTCGGCCCGGCCGTTGGCGTTCAATGTTCCCAGAGTGTTCACGAATTTGTGTCACAGGCGAAGTCGACGAAAAGAAGCACAAGAAAGCTCACACGCTGAATCGAGAGCGAGAGGAGGCCGAAGACGAGGGAGCCGACGGGGGCGACGACGGGGAAGAGGCCGACGCGTTTCAACACGTGAAGCAGGCCAAGGAGGACGATTTGCAGGTTCGTCGGGTTCGGTCGGACCCAATCTTTGGTCGCAAACGTAATATGAGTTAACGTGATTTAAACGCGGTAAACAGGCAATCGACGCCGCCACAAAAGAGCAAGCGGACCGGCAGCCCACTCTGCAGAAGGAGGAGGAAGAAGCCGAGAAGTTGAAAGAAGACGAAGAGGTTCCCATGGAAGTGGACGACGAAGACATTCAGGTAAACGACGATAACTTCACGGTTCGCCGTTTCGACTTTTGACGCGACGCAGATTCATTCATGGAGTTTCACGAGTCTAATTAAGATCAATTTGTACACTGTTTTAGGTGGAAAAGTGTGACGATATTAAACCCGAGAAGACGACGAGCGGTCACGAGAAGGACAGAGAGAAATCTGGCAAAAATAAGGAAGGCGCCGAAGAACCGACGGGCGATGCCGGTCTGGAAGTGGAAGGGGACGCCGTCCTCACGGCGACCGTGCGCAGAGGGACGGACACATCCTATCACACCAGGTGACGGACTCGCTCGGAGGGCAAATCCGCATCGATTCAGCGCTTCTTGTAATTGTATAATTTTCCACGCTACAGCGAGACCTTCGGCAAAGCGGAAGAGGAATCCCGGGCTGAGGCCATTTCCCCGGAGCGATACGTGACTATGCGCGAGTGGATCGCCTCGGGCGGACCGCTGACGGGCGGAAGCCAGAGCCGGGCGGTTTGGAGGGCGGCTTGGGCGGAAACGGCTGCCGCCTCCAGGGCCCTCTGCGAGAGGCTGCGATTGGTCTTGGAGCCCACCGGGAGATCTAGGAGGGCCGGTCGGTACCTCGCTTCCGGGTCTCCCCCGTTAGGGGACGACGGACGGATATTTATTGACCCGTCTAATAGTCGTAATATGTATAACTTTTAACAAATATTATATTTCTCGTGATGTTCTCGACTCCAGGCGACTTCCGCACCGGCCGCGCTATTAACATGCGTCGCGTGATCCCTTACATCGCTTCCCACTTCCGCAAAGACCGGATCTGGCTCCGAAGGACCAAACCTTCCAAGAGGGAATACCACATCGCCATCGCCGTGGACGACTCCAGCTCCATGGCGGACAACAGGAGCAAGGAGCTCGCCTTCGAGAGCTTGGCGCTCGTCTCTCAGGCCCTCAACCTCCTCGAATCGGGGGATCTCGCCGTTCTAAGCTTCGGCGAAAAGCCGAACCTGCTTCACCCGTTCGACGAACAGTTCTCGGAGCATTCCGGCGCCAAGATCCTGGAGCGGCTGCGCTTCGAGCAGAAGAAGACCAGGGTGGCCCAACTGTTGGACTTCTGCTCCGTCATGTTCGAGGGGCGGGCCGAGAGGAGCGACGCCCTCAACGCCAGGCTGCTGGTCGTCGTGAGCGACGGCAGAGGCATCTTCTCCGAAGGGGAGACCAGGGTCGTGCAGGCCGTGAGGGGGGCGAGGCAACGGGGCATATTCCTGGTCTACGTCATCATCGACAACCCGGACAACAAGGTACGGTCCTCGCTCACCCTTGCGTCGGTCAACGTTAGCCCTCGCCGAGGCTGCGATGTTTCTAGTCCTTTATTAGCTTTCCTGCAGTTAATACTATTTTGAAATACCCTGTAGTGGGGTATACCGTACCCAAACCTAACGTACGTTTTATGAATTGCAGGACTCGATAATGGATATCCGAAAACCTATATTGGACCCGGTGACGAACACACTCGATGGGTTCATACCGTATCTGGACACTTTTCCGTTCCCCTTCTATCTAATCCTCAGAGACATGTCGGCTCTTCCGACGGTCCTCGGAGACGCTCTCAGACAATGGTTCGAACTGGCCGCGAACAGCTCCAGTTGATCAATGTTCACTTATCACTTTCGTTTCACATTTATTCTGTCCAAATGGCATTCATGAAGGTCGATTGTGAATTAGTCAGTAAGTCGCGAAGTGAAGATATATATATATTTGCGAGTCCATACATATGGTAAATTGTAATTAAATATATTTTATGTGTGTGTGTGATATAGTGTATTTTTTTTGTGTATAATTAAAAAAAATAGAAAATAAATATTTTTATATATTACATATGACGCTATTTTCCTTCCTAATGAGTAATGACCACGCTTTTCGGTAAATGAGTAGGAGCAATTATCTTTTATTAAATGCAATTTTATTTTTCGAAGACCTTAAAGCTTTTTATACGATGTGTATGTATATCTGTGATGTTCCTTCAACCGCAGCAATAGGTAGAAATCGCATGGAACTAGGTCCGGGAATATGGAAAATGTTCCATCAATTCGCAGCGAGGTTCTTGAATGACAGGCACCGATTGAACTCAGAACACCAATTCGCAACCGTGAATATGGAAGAGGATTAATCCCTCGGCCCATATTCTAGAACGCCAACCTTAAATCTAGATTCAAGAACTGTCAAACCATATTTTCTGTATGAAGTTTGACATACATATTTGAGAGCGCTCAAGTCGAGATTGAGTGAGTTTTTTTTTTTTTTTAGACAATTCACACCAATTGACCTAGTCCCATGCTAACGGTGAAGCTTGTGTTATGGAGTACTACAAGATTACATAATTATAGATAGATAAATATAAATACATATTTAAACACCCAAGCCTAACACAACACCAAATGCTCATAACATCGATGTACGTCTCAGCCGGGGATCGAACCCGGGACCCATGGATTCGCAGTCAGGGGTACTAACCACTAGACCAATGAGTCGTCAAGTGAGTGAGTTGAGTTATATATTATTACTGTGCGAATTTTACTTTTTACCACTTTTAAGAAATCCTTCCGACGCGACGAAACGTTGGCTTCTGTTTATAAACGGTTTTATTTAGCTTGCCCTGTTTGGGTCAAATCAAGTTATTGAAAATGTATCCTTTTCCTGTTGACGGATTGCAATTTTAGTTCTGGATTATCTGAATAGGAAGAACCTATTTTATTCTATTCGGTATGTTATAGTAGGTATGCTATGGCTATGATTACCAGTTTTTCTGTTCCAATGAGAATTTATCGCATTATCACTATTTACTGAAGACCCCCAAGAAATTACAAAGAATCGGTGGCTGTCGACTGACTGATGGTAGGTATGTACGAAAACCAGGCGTCATCGTTATCCCTTGACGTCGAAAGTGTCTTCGTTCCGGATAACGCAATGTATAATAATTAGAATGTTGTATGCGCCTATAATTGGGGTAGCACTTGGCTTGTGTTTGTGTTACATGCATGTATCAGTGTCTACTTTGGCGTAAAGTGAGGCTATTTACGATCTAAGTGTAAACATAGACTTACGTTAACTTGTATTGGAGTGTGTATGTCAAAGCGGGGCCGCGCCCCCCCCCGGCGGCGGCGGGGGGGGAAAACCCAGGGGCCCCCCCCTTTTTTGGGGGGGGGAAACCGAGCGGGGGGAAGGAAAAAAAGGGGGGGTTGTAACCCCCCTACGGTTTTGTGGGGGGGGGGGGGGGGGCGAGGGGGGGCCCCCCCCTTTTTTTCTCCCTTTTTTTTAAACCCCCTTTTTTTTTTTTTTTTTTTTTTTTTTTGGAAAAAAAAAATTTTTTTTTTTTTTCCACCAAACAAAAAAAAGCCCCCCCGCCCCAGGCCCGGAAAAAAAAAAAAAAAAAATTTATTTTTTTTTTTTTTTTTTTTTTTTTTTTTTTTTTTTTTTCCTTTTTTTTTTTTTGTTTTTTCTCCCCTCTTTTTTTTAACCCCCCCCCTTTTTTTGGGGGGGAGAAAAAAATTTTTTTCTTTCTCCCCACAAAAAAACAAGGGGGGGGGGGGGGGGGGGGGGGGGTTTTTTTTTTTTTAATTTTCGCCCGGGGCCGGGCCGGGGGGGAAAAGGGGGGGGGGGGGCCCCCCCCCCCCCCCCCCCCCCCCCCCCCCCCCCTTTCCTTTTCCCCCCCCCCCCCCCCCCTTCCTCTTTTTCTTTTTTTTTTCTTTTTTTTTTTTTTTTTTTTTTTTTGGCCCCCCCCCCGGGGGGGGGGTCTCCGGTGGGGGGGGGGGGGGGGTTTTTTTTTGTGGGGGGGGGGGGGGGCCGCCCCCCCTCCCCCTCTTTTTTCTTTTTTTTTGTTTTAGGCTTCTTCCCTCCTTTTTCCCCCCCCCCTTCTTTGGGGGGGGGGGGGGGGCGGACCCTTCTTTTTTTTTTTTTTTTTTTTTTTCCGCCTTTATTTTTTAAATTTGGGGGGGGGGGGGGGGGGGGGGGGGAAAAATGGGTTTTTTGGTTGTTTTGCCCGGGGGGGGGGGGGGGGTTTTCTCCCGCCCCCCCCCCCAACCCCCCCCCCCGGGGGCGGGGGGGGGGCGCCCCCCCCCCCCCCCCCCGCTTGCCCCGGCGGGCGGAAGGTGGGGGGGAGGGGGAGGGGGGGGGGGGGGGGGGGGGGGGGGGGGGGGAATCTTGTAGTGTAGTATAAATAATTTCCCCCTTGTCAGCCCTTGCCCGCCACTTCCGTGCGCGCCTATGTCAAAGCTTACATACGCAAAATAACAATAGTTACTTTATTCGCCGGCAGAAGTGCTGCTATAGTTTTTTTGCTGCATAATGGCGGCACATATTAGTTTAGACCTAAGTAAAATTAGAAATTGTGTTAGTGGTTATTCCACTCGTTTTTATTTATAAATAATTAGAATATTTAAAAATAAAAACGAGTGCAATACACAACAATTTGAACAAAAATTTAACAATTGCCTACCGCCGCGGCCGCCCGCGCTTTGGAGAGAGACAATTAATCACAATTAAATCCCCCCGACTTTACCTCACTGTAGCGCTATTCCGTAAAGCTACGAGTTTTTATATAACAGGTTATTATTATCTAATAGTCAATGAGGGATAATAGTCTATTAATGAGCAAGTAGCAGTATAAATATTTGTATTTATTGGACAAATAACTTCCTAACTCGATCTGGTAAAGATCTATCGACTATAAGCTGTGAGAGGCGCACGATCAAATGTGATTATAAATGGACTTTTTAACTAATCAATGAATTACATATTGGCAAGGTTAAAACATTTAAATATCTGGAACATGTGCTATCTGCTGAACTCAAAGACAATCTTGACATTGAACGGGAGCGTACAGCGTTGGCAGCAAGGAGTAATATATGGGCGCATAGGTATGCTCGTTGTAGAATTCCAGTAAAACTCACCCTTTTAAAGGCTTACTGTGAAAACTTCTACACAGGCGCACTATGGGTTAGCTGTTATGCCGGGCTAAGTGCCTAGCGCGATCAATATAATAACAAATAAATAATTTAGGATGCGTTCGGGTCTGCCACGCTTTTGGAGCGCCTCAGACGTATTTGCCTCGGCTCAAACTGATGAATTCTGGGCGATCCTTCGGAAAAGAACGGCATCACATTTACGCAGATTGCGAGGCAGTAGGAACAGTAGGTATCCTCAGTACAATAGATGACTGTACTCAGTCGCAAATTGTTAGGCAGTTTGTGCATACGCTTGTCGGCTCTTGGAGACACGTCTATGCATAGGCTGTTTATTTACTTCATTTTTAATTTATTTATATTTGTTGTTGGTACTAAAATTAGTCTTTAAGTTATACTTACTAAAATGGATCTGTGTTATCTAAATGGAATGAATTATTATTATTATTGTAGGCTGGATTCTTTATCGACTATCATTTCCTGATACAGTTAATAGTAAATGAAGTTATTATGATGATAATTTGGCCATAACATTGATTATGTTATGGTCAAACGTTGATAATTCAACGATATGGTGAATTTTAACTAGCCACGAGGCGTGAAGTGCCACAGACCACGATTATTATATGTTATAAGTTTTATCTTCATATTATATAGGGCCGACGTTGTTTGCGGAGTATCGTAACAAAGACGTTGCGGCTTAGGCCTACTACTTTCAGTTTTGCGGTCACTTGGAGGGAAAGGCTAAATTAGCCTCTTAGAAGCCGGGTGTGCTCAGCAAGGCGAGGTGGTAGGTACTTCACTCCGGGTCACCGCTTGCAACTTGCCCACTGAAGTATTTCCGAACCAATTCAGCTAATATATTTCAAGAGAAGCACGTACTAACTCCTAAAATGGCCGCAACACACTTGCGAGCCTTCAGGGTATGTGAGGGTCCATGGGCGGCAGAATCACTTAACATCAGGTGAGCCTCCTGCCCCTATTGTTACTATAAAAAAATACTAAATGCTGTCATTACATATTGTATAATTAATTGTATTATTGTACATATATTTTCTTTTTACTTTTAAGGAATTTTAATTGTTCGACACTTCGTGTGGCTGTAAGAATAGTGTGTATGTAATTTGTTGAATATAAAATGCTAGGCATTAATTATATTCTTATGAATCAGCCAACTACCTTAACAATAGAAGAACAAGTCACAGATACACGTAACATTCTAAACAGTGGCGGATTTACCAGCAGGCTGAGTAGGCTGGAGCCTAGGGCGGCAAATTTTAAGGGGCGGCAAATTTAGTTCATAAATTTTTTATTTCGGTTTACAAATTTAAAAAAAAAAAATTATACACACACACAATACGAATTTCGAAAATTGGAGAGAAATTAAAATATTTAACAAAAATCTAAATATTCTCATATACAGTGCTAATTAATAAATATTTCAACATCTCTGCATGAACAATTCCTAAACGCTTTACTAATTATACATTAATGATGATGAACTTTTAGAATATCGCGATTCGATATTATAATCGAAATTTAGTAATTTTTACATATATTCTTCACTGATAACTGCTATAATTTTTTCTCCGTGTACCTATTAATTATGCGATCTGCTTACCCAATTCAATCGATATAATATCGATGGTCTAATAAAAATACTGACTAAAATTGACGAATTTTTATGAA